TTTCTGTGCATTTTGAATAGCACATTATTCTTTTCCATTCTAAAATAAGTTTCTCATTAATCTTGTGTGATGGGATTTACAGTTTTTTTTTGTTTTTTGATCACTTTATGTAATAATCTAGTTAATATTGAAATAACTGTATGGGACTGTCTAATTTATTGTTGCCTCTAAGATCATTGTATATGACTATGATTTTTCTTCTTAGTGTCACTGATACAGCCGTTGAGCCTCTGAAAGCAAAGCTAGCGGAGCTTGAGCTACTGATTAAAGAGCAGGAGGATAAAATCTGCACGGTAAAAGGAAACCTCCTACGCAATGAAGAAAAAATAAAAAAGATGGTTCAGAGCATTGCTGTACCATCCTAAGAAAGCACTGTTTCTCCCGCAAACTGTTATTGAACTTGGTTCAGCTGGTGTGCAGCGTGTTTGTCACTGATTCGTTGTTTCTCAATCAGAACTGTAAAGTCATGTGATGAGTTCCTTCTAAAGAACTCTGGGCATTTTTTGTTTTCTATTGCACCCCCAATTGATCCCCAATTCTTAATGTTGTGTGCTACGTTAAGTACGCATTTCCCCCAGCGTAATACATTGGAGGAAAAGTGTTTTTCACAACTTGCTCTTCTTTCTGCACAGTTGCTTCGTATGTCTGTTTCTTTTCATAGTCCTTAAACAAGTAACACTTAAGCACTTTCTCAACAAAAATCCATTTATTAGGTACTGAAGACTTTTTTTTTTTTTTTTTTAGTTAAATTTTGTGACCATACCCCATGATAGTAACAACTTTTGCCCTTTTCTGTGCTGCAGGCAAGTACAACATTAACTCATATATTTTTTTGGAAAACTTACAGAGCCTTAGAATAATTCATGCATCCTTTATTTATACAAAACCTGTTCCCTTCATTTGATGATCACCTATATTGCACATGTGACATCCCAAGAATAAGACGTAGGCACTGTAGGTTTTGTATGTTATGTACAAATTATTTATATACATGTAAATCACATGTTTGTGCGAGCATTTTTGTAAAACTTGGAACATTATATTCTAGCAAATTGTATTTTATTTTCTATAAAATATAATGTAAAATGAAAAAATATATATTTAGGCTGTCGGCCAGTCATTTCAGGATTTTATAAGTAAGACTGTATTTTGCTATCTTGTTTAAAGTTCTCTCTAAGCCATTTATTCTGGCAAAACTACGGAATATGGACTTTTTTATATGGCACCAATATATTTACAACTACTGGGAAAGGAGTGATGTTTATGACTACACTAAGCCAGTTTGGGAAGATTACAACTCTTAATTTTTCAACAGTTTTGGTCTAAATATGCAATCCCTCTGTTAATTTTGTTAATATACTCAATAATTTATAGACAAAACTGAAGAGTGGAGGTGCTTCAGAAAAGTAGGAACTTTGGGTATGTATGATTTTAGTTTTCGTCACTTACAATTTACCCCATCCTGGTGGTGGTTTTCAACAATGAAGCAATCGCTCGTCTGTGCGGCTGCTTGTCTAGGTTTATGAGAAGACTTATTACAGAATCAAATGGGATTTGCAAACACTCTAACATGAAAAACTGTCCTGTGTCAGGTATTATGAGTGTTATTACAATACTCGTATAAAAATAGCAGCAAGAAAAAATGGCAGCTATGTATATCCTACTTAACCCTATTACCTCCATACTTATTTATCCAAGTGATTAACATAAAAACAAATTATATTTATTTTTTAATTTTATTTTTTAAATTCTTTATTTTTGTAGTGAAGAGCGTATCATGAAGAAGAGCTTGAACGTTTACATTACATTTCTTAGCAATACAGTTCAAATAATGTCAGAGTAAGATCAGCAAATGTTTAGATAGCTGCACTGTTTTTTGTGTGTTTTTTGTGTGTGTTTTTTCTGTTATAAAAATACGTGAAAACAATCTAAGAAACAAGGCATTATAATACACAATAAGACGAAAGATGTAAACACATGGGTACGGACACATATCCACTGGGTTGTAAGTCACATTAGGAGTATTCTAACCTCTTTATTTAGGGAGAGGAGGTGGGCGATATGGTAAGCGTACACTGTATGTCGAGTGACAGGTAGGTAGTCAGTCAAGATGGTAACATTTCAGAGCCTAGCTAGTTAAACAATAAGGAGGCTCGGCACTATAGTCTAAGTGCCTTACAAGAGTAGGTGTCTGACTAGCGTTATATGCACAGGTGTGTGGGGTTTTAAAGTGACGGGCCTTGTGTAATAGGCTCTAGTCGCCATAATGCCCCATCTCTAAGGCGAAGATGGCTTGCTTTGTGTTCTCGGTCGGCTATTAGTAGAGGATAGTGTGGTAGTGCAGTGCGTGTGGGCTAGGATAAACTGGGTTCAGGCAGGTTGGAGAGGAAAGACATGGCTGAAGGATCGTCTTTTCATAGGGGTACTAAAGGTACTGTAATGAAACATAACTAGTAGAACTGCTTAGTAATTGAGTCAACAGAGTCTCTGGCTGTGTGTTTCAGGTGGTTGCCTTCACCATGTGGTCTCGTTTGGGTCCGCGTGGTACGAAGGGAGCCATCTATCTGGGTTCCATTAGTGGGTCGATCTAGTTGCTCCACGGGACACTGCAGGGTGAAGAGTACACTAGTACTCCCAGGGTGGGTAATAAGGCTGCTGCCACCTGTATTGTATTCCATGTTGTTGGAGGAGTGCAGTGAATGGGCTAAGCGATATCCGCTAGGCGAGTGTGCCCCCTGTAAGATTTGCATAAAACGTTAGGTCCATCGCTTCAAATTGATAGGGTGAGCAGTCCCTGACCGCCGCCATGACTGCTGCTTTATCTTTGTGTTGATGGAATTTTAGAATATCTCTAGGTGCCGTGCTGGGTGCTTTGGCCGACTTTGGGGCTCGGAAGAAGCCTTCCAGCTGTACTGATTTAACCTGCTTGGGTGAGAGCAGGACCACCAGCAAGCATCGCAATACATGCAGTAGTTCGGCCTCTGTGGTTTCCTCCGGGATGCCCCGGACTTTCAGGTTTTTGGCACGGCGTGCATCTTCTAGTGCCGCAAACCGGAGCTCATATGGCTCATTTTGTAGTTGAAGGCCCTGGATCGCTTGTTGTAGGGAGGTAATTTGATCAGTGCAGACGCTTGAGGCTGACTCCGGAGTTCTGATTCGTTCTGTCAGGCCATAGATGTCTGCGCGGAGCGAGGCCACGTCTGACTGGATGGTCTTTTGCAGGTCAGCAAGCAACGACTTCAGAACCGCCGTCGTTACCGGCGGGGTATCAGCTTTCTGGTTAACCGGCACTGGCATCTGCACCGGAGGTAAGTCAGCTGCCTCTTCCCCCGAGGAGAAATCATCAGATAGCTCGGAGTAGGTCTCTGGGTAGGCGGCCATCTTGGTCCGTGTTGCCCCATGTGTCTGCCGCAGGAGCGCGGCAATGTTTGGCCCCTGTCACGGCTTGTCGGGTCTGGGTTTCTTCGTCTTGCGACCCCATCTTGTTGCTTTGTCCCCGGTAGTGTCGGCAATTGGGGAAATTTATGATTAGGTGTGCTAAATAAGCAGATTTGGGCCTGAAAATGCAGGAGCTCGAGTGCCATGCGGCCGTTTAGCTCAGCTAAGCTCAGTCCCCCCAAAATTATATTTATTATACAAATAACATACTCTTATAAAAATATATATTTGTTAATACAAAGTTTGAATGTATGTTTAAGAATTCAGGTAATATAAAGTATAAATCACCAATTCTGGTGCCTTATATCATGAACAGTTATAACATTAGCATACAATGATGCTTTAAACCAAGGATAATCCTTTGAGTAAATAAACCAACACCACATATCACTTGCAAAAAAGAGCAAATTAAATTACTACTTCTCAGTAATTTCCACACTCTGATCTTTTACTGATAATCAATCCACAAATAATTACCATAGAGAAAAAATTATAATAAAATATAATACCACATTAGCCAGCAATATTTATATATACGAATTTTCAAGATTCAACCAAATACTAGTAAACATGCTATGCAACATACCCAGGAATTGTTACTGAAAACGATGTATAGGAATACTCATCCCCCCCACCCCCCATCCTTGGCCAGTTGGTTGAGACACCTGCTATATGATGATTAGAGATAAGTATCAATTAAAACTGTTGCACCCAATATGCATTTTAAGATACGTGCTCCACTGAGAACATGTAGCTGCAGGCATATTATTATGAAGGGTTTATCTACGTAGACATGACGTGAGCTTTAGTTGCTTTGCTGTTAAAGTGGCTGCGTAAAAAGGCAAAGGTACAAAACATCTAAGAGAGACAATACAAAATTTGACAAATCTAGGAGGAGTAAAGGATCCTGTTTCCCGTGGAACTGACAATCTAGTTTCAACGTTTTATTTGTTTTGTTTTTTGTCAAGTATCTGATCACAAATAAGACGGTTATGAATATTGCATTACACATAGCAAGCTTTGTAGATATCACATTGTTCATTACTTTTTTGACTGATAACATATACAGAATAAAGGAAAATACAACAGACAAAATATTAAGTTCAGCCTTCCTCACATTTGTTTTTTGCTGTTGATCCAAAAGAAGGCAAAAAATCCAGTTTAAGGCACACTTTTGCAACAAGCTAGGTAAAAATTCCTTCTTGACCCCAGAATGGCAGTCAGATTTATCCTTGGATCAAGCAGTTATTGCCCTACATTGAAAGATTATATCCTTGAACATTCTGTTTTTGCAAGTATGCATCTAGTAGCTGTTTGAACATCTGTATGGACTCTAATAAAACCACTTCTTCAGGCAGAGAATTCCACATCCTTATTGTTCTTACAGTAAAAAAGACCTTTCCTTTGCCTTAGACGAAATCTTCTTTCTTCCAGTCTAAACGCATGACCTCGTGTCCTATGTAAAATCAGGTTTGTGAATAGATTTCCACACAATGGTTTGTATTGGCCCCGAATATATTTGTATAATGTTATCATATCCCCTTTCTGGCGACGTTTTTCTAAACTAAATAATTTTAATTTGTTAACCTTTCTTCATAGCCGATATGTTCCATTCCTTTTATTAATTTTGTAGCCCGCCTCTGCACTTTTTCTAGTGCCATAATCTCCTTCTTTAGAACAGGTGCCCAAAATTGCACAGCATATTCAATATGTGGTCTTACCAGTGATTTATAAAGAGGCAAAATGATATTCTCGTCCCGAGAATGAATGCCCTTTTTCATGCATGACAATACCTTACTGGCCTTGGCTACTGCTGATTGACATTGCACATTGTTGCATAGTTTGTTGTCTATAACAATTCCCAAGTTCTTTTCGTGTGTTGTTATCCCTAATTCGCTTCCATTAAGGGTATACGTTGCTTGTGTATTCTTTATGCCGAAGTGCATAACTTTGCATTTTTCAACATTAAATTTCATCTGCCATTTGAGGGCCGAGTCCCCCAGTCTATTTAAATCCCTCTGCAGCAAAGTAATATCTTGCTCACATTGTATTATTTTACAGAGTTTTGTGTCATCTGCAAACACTGAAACATGGCTTTCAATGCTGTCTTCAAGATCATTTATAAACATGTTAAATAGAAGGGGTCCCAGAACAGACCCCTGAGGGACACCACTTGCCACCTCTGTCCAGCTTGAAAATTTGCCATTAATGACAACTCTTTGTACTCTGTTTTTAAGCCAATGTTCTACCCAAGAACAAGCATTTTCATCTAGACCCATTTCCTTGAGTTTGAACACTAATCTATTGTGTGGAACTGTATCAAATGCCTTGGCAAAATCCAAATAGATCACATCCACTGCAACACCCTGATCTATACTTCTACTTACTTCTTTGTAGAACGCAATCAAGTTCGTTTTACATGACCTGTGCGTTATAAAACCGTGCTGATTTTTGCTGATAACCATGTTCTTCTCAAGGAATTCTTGAATATTCTCCTTTAATAACCTTTCAAATATTTTCCTAGCCACAGAAGTTAAGCTAACAGGTCTATAATTTCCAGGCAAGGATTTTGAACCCTTTTTGAATATAGGAACCACAAGTTAAAAATAAACACAACCAAATTTTTTAATGTGTTTCGGCTGTGTAACGGACCGTTTTGCCCACAAGCGGTTAAAAACTGTTTAGGCGATATTCCCCTTTCTCAGCTGCATAGACAGCTACTGCAAGCACCAATCTCCCGAACTGGAAACCCACGAATTCACCAACTCCCGAACTGCAAACACACGAACACTGGAAACAGCCGAACTGGAGACACACGAATAGCTGTTAGCAGACGAACAGGAAAAGCCCCCAAGCGGCTTACACATAAAATTACATACAGTTACATTTATTCCATAAAACATAGACATTCTACATATCCCCAGATAGCTTAGATCTGAGTGCACATTACTACCGAATGGCGCTCAGATCACATAAATACAGTTCAATCGCCATGGAGCCAAAGTCTTTCATACAGTCTTTCAGTATACGGCTGGGCTCCATGGCATAGCTATCTGGGGTAGCATGGCTTTAACAGTCCGCAGAAAGGCACGAATAAACCTTTCTGCCAGTAAAATAAAAGTTTAAAATGCAGGACCATAGTCTAAAGGGAGCAGGCGAGCAACCAGGCTTCTCCAGTGTACAGGGGCGCGGTTGGTTTCGCCACAGGCTGGATTTAGTGCTACCTTAGGGGCGACCAGCTTGAGGTTTTCTGTTCCTTGAAATCTACATTACTAGGCAATAAGGGGTTAGCCCACAATCACCCTGGTCAAGTACCAGTCAAACTCAATATTGTTTTTTATTCCAGATTGTGTATCTTTATCTAAGGAGGTAATATATAGTTGCCAAGTAAGAAAACATTTATTTATTTATTAAGTTTGTTAGCATACTTTTAGTTAACAATAAGTGAAATAAGTACTTGATCCCCTATTAATCAGTAAGATTTCTGGCTTCCAGGTGTATTTTATACACGTAACAAACTGAGATTAGGAGCACTCTCTTAAATGGAGTGCTCCTAATCTCCGCTCATTACCTGTATAAAAGACACCTGTCCACAGAAGCAATCATCAATCAGATTCCAAACTCTCCACCATGGCCAGGACCAAAGAGCTGTCCAAGGATGTCAGTGACAAGATTTAAAGGGGACATTGGAACGTGGAATTGCCTCCATGACTGCCTGCTTGTCATTGAATGATTGGAAACGGAGTAGGACGTCCCAGAAGGCTGCTGCCTGTGAGCGCCCTACACCTGTAGGCTCTTGGACTGTTGATGAGGTAAGATGTGAGAGAAGAGACTGAGGAAGTGGGGTAGTTCGCCATCAAAGATGGACTAAAATGCCTCTGATTTTGCGTTTTTTGCACGGATGCGCATTATCCACAGTGTCCATTCAAGCCTGTATAGCCTCATGTGAGGCCCGCAGGAGTCTGATCTGCTCCGCTGCATCTGCATGGCGCTGAGAGAGGGAGGACACCTCTTTCTCTGTTGCTTTTACCCTGTCTGTGACAGCCGTCAGTTCTTCCTGTACCACCGCCAGGTCGGCATGGAAGATGGTGCATATGTGAACCATGAGGTCCATGAAGTCACTTTTGGTGGTTGCGGCCCCTCTGTCTCCAGACTGTAGTGGTTCCTCTGGGTGATCAGCTCCCTGTATAGGATCTAGTGTCCAGTAGTTCCTCCACACCGCCATCTTTGGCCTAGGCCTCACCCGTAGGAGGTCTCCGATATTCCTGCTGCCCTCCACAGAGAGGGTTTTGAGCTTCTTTGCATTCTTTCCCATGATGTCTCGGGTATCAGAGGCACCGATGGGGTTGAGCTACCGTTGTATGAGAGGGGTAATCTGCCGGTTATCGTGTAGTGGTACCAGAGCTCTGCGGACATGCGACTGCTCTTGGTGCTGCTCAAGCCACGCCCCCCTTAAAGTGCATTTCTTGATTAGAAGCTGTATTTGAAGTAATTTGGCGGTTATCTCCTTATCTCTTGTAAATTGAGATGATTAATGTTTTTTTCCCTTTGGAGGAATACAGTATTTTGATTTAAAGGACCACTATAGTGCCAGGAAAACATACTTGTTTTTCTGGTACTATAGCGCCCTGAGGGTGCCCCCACCTGGCTCTAGGGGGTGGAAGGGGTTAAACTTACCTCTTTCTCCTGCGCCGGGCGGGGGACTCTCCTCCTCCTCCGCGCGTGCATTCAGCCAGTCCATAGGAAAGCATTCACAATGCTTTCCTGTGGATGCTGACGTCTTCTGTGAAAATCACAGTGAGAAGCGCGGAAGCGCCTCTAGCGGCTGTCAATGAGACAGCCACTAGAGGCTGGATTATTAACCCTATTATAAACATAGCAGTTTCTGTGAAACTGCTATTTTTATAGAAAAAAGGGTTAAACCTAGCTGGACCTGGCACCCAGACCACTTCATTAAGCTGAAGTGGTCTGGGTGCCTATAGTGGTCCTTTAACGTAGGTTATTAATGATGTATTTCGACAAAGAGTTGAAGAGGGTCATTCTGAATGTGGGAAATATAGCTGACCACAATATTGTTATTTTAAAAAAATAATAATTTTATCAAAGTAGCACACATCAAGTTTACAAAATAAACTACTAAATTGCAAATAGGCATGTAAAAAAAATACACAAAAAAAATTTCCAGCAAATTCTACATACTTATAACCATGATCAAAAATATCTTAGTAAGCCAAAATAAAGTTGTAGACAAAAACCCTAAATCCGCTTAGAGATTTAGTAAATAGAGGCCTCCATGCAAATTAGAACACAGCATACACTCGGTTCTGGGATTAGACAACCGTAAGGCACAAAAGTGCTTAGATTCCAGAAACCTATCCTAAGCATACCATAATTGTGCAGTTTTCTTCAAGCTACCTCGGGAAGATGTTGCAAAAAGTTCCATTGATTGGATTTCCTCCACCTTGCCGAGCCTTTGGCAAATGGTAGGAGAGCACAACCTCCTTCAATGAAAAGGAATATGGGATTTTCTCAATAAGGAGCTTTTATACATTTTGATAGACAAATCGTGCTGCAACAGATTTAAGGCAGGATAATGATCATCGGACTTCAGAATCTACATTGGTAAAAATTTTATGGATCACAGAAAAAAACTGGGCTAACGCAGGACAGTCCCACCACATATGTACATAGTTCCTCAGGGCACTCCCACAGCACCAATATTAATTTGTTTATGAATGCCGATTATACACTGTAGTAGTGCTGGTAGGGTACCACCTTGTCAAAATCTTAAAGGCAGATTCCTGGAAATGGGAGGAGAGAGAGCACTTATGGTAGCAGCAGGAAGATTTTCTGCCATTGAGGAGGGTTAGTGAGATCTGCAAATTCACGTTGCCATTGAGAAGTATAGCTAGGCAGTGATTCATCAGAAGAAGAAATTACTAAGTTATATATCACTGAGATAAGGTTGGGGGAGGAGGACTGTCCTGCACTATACATAATATTTCAAATAGGCTAGGTGAGGCAAATGTATGGTGGACAATAAGTGCTGCAGCTGAAATTAAGGCCATGCTGGGGTGTCCAAGTGTAGGAGGGGGCCCTCTGAGAGAAGATTTTGGTTTGGCCCTGCTGTCTATACTCATAACCTGATTTAAGCTATAATGTAGAGGGGATAAGGAGGTTTGCCTACTCTTGACCAGACTAACACCCTTAGCATAAGACCAATAGTAATGTGCAAGCAGCGGGACAGTTTGAGAGGCCCATCCATGGCACAGTAACCAAGCTATATCCAAATCAAATGTGTTGAGACTCGAGGACACCCAGAGAGTATCCAGAAAGTCCCTCATAAAATCAATGACTCTAGTTAAAAACTTTTGTGGCATAAAGCTCCTTATGTGAAAGGCCCATCCTCCCATTGGTTTTCTTAAGGGTGAGTTTTGTGAATTTAAGCAAGGGACACCTTTAAGCTAGATGAAGCAAAGAAACCACTATTTCAGAGTAATACAAAAATGGGGAAAAGTGAATCTTAGTGGCCTGTAATAGGTATAAAAAAAAACCTGTGCAGTATGTTAATTTTTAGTACAGAAGTTCTGCCAAAGCTTGAAAAGCAAGGCCTGTTCCATGTGCATGTCAGCCTGTATAGTTTCTGACAAGAGAGGAAAATTAAGATTATACACACACACACGAAAACACTCACTGACAGTCACTCACTCACTGACACACAGACTCAGACATCCAGCCTCCCGACCTCCCTGGGGTCCAGTGTGGGGCAGCTCCTCCAGCGCACTGTTTAGTATGCTGGAATGACGTCATAGTCCGGCTCTCGGCATCACAGAGGGCATGCGAGAGAGGAGTGGGCAGCTGCAAGTAGAGCCTTCCTCGTCGCCCACACTGCTGTCGCCTGCCTCCTCTCCACTGGCATGGAGGGTAAGCAGGTGCCTGCTCTGCCATACTGAAGGGCAGCTTTGGGGGCGCCCTGAGGTAGCCAAATGGCCACCTCTCGGGCCCCCTGTGATAGGGCTCCTCTCGGCTCCCCCATTTTCTGGCACCTGGAGGATCAGCCCGGAGCTGAGGGGGGGGCAGCTCTAGAGCCGCTCGCCCAGGACAAGGGGGCACACCAGGAAATATCCCGGTGGGCACCCCCAGCTGGTCGGTGCCCTAGGCGAACAGTTGCACCGGCCCGGTATAAAAGGGAAGGACATCCGCGAGGAAATCCCAGTTGACCTTGTCAAAAGCTTTCTCAGCATCAGTTAAAAGTTAGAGTGACTGGGTGTCTCCAGGAGAAATCCCTGTCACCATGCCCAAAGCTCTCATTGTGTTACATCTAGGGTAGCCTCATGTCCTGGTGCAAACTCCACCTGGTCCAGTAGCACTATTTTCTAATTAGATTAATGAGTCCTAAAGCTAGCAATGAATTAACTTGTTACTTCTATGCAATTCACAGTGCAATACGTAGACAAAGTAAATGGAAGTGCTATGGAAAAGTGGTCTTTCTATTTCTTAATCTTTGTTTTTTTTCTCTCCACCATGTGTAAAGAGCAATTTAAGAGCAAAGTTCTAAGAGTGGAGCAATCAGCAGGGACTTTACTTTGGATTCCAAAGTGACTGCCCCACTTCTCCAACTTGTAAACGTCTCCCTGCAGCCATTGCTTTGCTTTCAGAGCAGCCTGTGAGCCTCCCCTCCTCTCCCTATGGTGGAGTAGCTTATCCCTTACTATGACTAGTCCCCGGGAGGTGACTGACATGGAGAGTAGATGAGGGTCAATGTGGACCACAGTGTGCGCTGTGTCTTTAACTGCAGGACTCACCGCCCTCCTCAAACCACGCCCACACCCCTGACGTCATCCGCTAGGCGAGGAGTGACGCCGAGACTGTCCAATGAGATGTTTGGGGAGGGCGGGGCTTCTGCTGTGAGCAAAAAGGCCTATCTCGGTTTCTTGGACTGGGCCATAGACTAATGGAGGAAGCTCCTGAGACCACCCGGAGAGGGGGTACTAGTGACGTCATGAGGGCAGGTAACAGGTCACAGTGCCGCGTGGTTATTGTTATTATGGCTCTACCAAACGCTGCATTGCTGCTGTAACCTGTAATAACCTAACAGCCCTGCTATATCATCACCTTAATTACTATCAGAACCAGCACACTACCTCTCATTTATTATATCATCACCTTAATTACTATCAGAACCAACACTACCTCTCATTTATTATATCATCACCTTAATTACTATCAGAACCAGCACTACCTCTCATTTATTATATCATCACCTTAATTACTATCAGAACCAGCACTACCTCTCATTTATTATATCATCACCTTAATTACTATCAGAACCTGCACTACCTCTCATTTATTATATCATCACCTTAATTACTATCAGAACCAGCACTACCTCTCATTTATTATATCATCACCTTAATTACTATCAGAACCAGCACTACCTCTCATTTATTATATCATCACCTTATTACTATCAGAACCAACACTACCTCTCATTTATTATATCACCTTAATTACTACCTCTCATTTATTATATCACCTTAATTACTATCAGAACCAGCACTACCTCTCATTTATTATATCATCACCTTAATTACTATCAGAACCAGCACTACCTCTCATTTATTATATCATCACCTTAATTACTATCAGAACCAACACTACCTCTCATTTATTATATCATCACCTTAATTACTATCAGAACCAGCACTACCTCTCATTTATTATATCATCACCTTCATTACTATCAGAACCAACACTACCTCTCATTTATTATATCATCACCTTAATTACTATCAGAACCAGCACTACCTCTCATTTATTATATCATCACCTTCATTACTATCAGAACCAACACTACCTCTCATTTATTATATCACCTTAATTATTATCAGAACCAACACTACCTCTCATTTATTATATCACCTTAATTACTATCAGAACCAGCACTACCTCTCATTTATTATATCATCACCTTAATTACTATCAGAACCAGCACTACCTCTCATTTATTATATCATCACCTTAATTACTATCAGAACCAGCACTACCTCTCATTTATTATATCATCACCTTAATTACTATCAGAACCAGCACTACCTCTCATTTATTATATCATCACCTTAATTACTATCAGAACCTGCACTGCCTCTCATTTATTATATCATCACCTTAATTACTATCAGAACCAGCACTACCTCTCATTTATTATATCATCACCTTAATTACTATCAGAACCTGCACTGCCTCTCATTTATTATATCACCTTAATTACTATCAGAACCAGCACTACCTCTCATTTATTATATCATCACCTTAATTACTATCAGAACCAGCACTACCTCTCATTTATTATATCATCACCTTAATTACTATCAGAACCAGCACTACCTCTCATTTATTATATCACCTTAATTACTATCAGAACCAGCGCTACCTCTCATTTATTATATCATCACCTTAATTACTATCAGAACCAGCACTACCTCTCATTTATTATATCATCACCTTAATTACTATCGGAACCAACACTACCTCTCATTTATTATATCATCACCTTTATTATCAGAACTCACACAACTAGCACTAACTCTCATTTATTATAGTATCACCTCTCATCAACTAACATCCCTAACTACAGACACCCCTAAGCTATAGTAACAACAACCCCCAACTACAGACACCCCTAAACAAGAGCACCTACTAGAACCTCTCAACTACTAGCACCCCTAAACTAAAACATCACCTCAACTACTAGCACCCCTAAACTACAGCATCACCTCAACTACTAGCACCCCTAAACTAAAACATCACCTCAACTACTAGCACCCCTAAACTAAAACATCACCTCAACTACTAGCACCCCTAAACTACAGCATCACCTCAACTACTAGCACCCCTAAACTAAAACATCACCTCAACTACTAGAACCCCATAAACTACAGCATCACCTCAACTACTAGCATCACCTCAACTACTAGCACCCCTAAACTAAAACATCACCTCAACTACTAGAACCCATAAACTACAGCATCACCTTAACTACTAGCAACCCTAAACTACAGCATCACCTCAGCTACTAGCACCCCTAAACTACAGCATCACCTCAGCTACTAGCACCCCTAAACTAAAACATCACCTCAACTACTAGAACCCATAAACTACAGCATCACATCTCAACTGCTGGCACACCTAACTAAAACATCACCTTAATTGCTGACACCTATAGCATCATCCTGACTGCTGACACTCGTAAATATAGCATCATCCTTGCGACTCTGTAAAATGATTCCACAGACACAATGATGGACTGAGAGTAGAGTTGTTGACACACAATTTGAATACAGCAGTGATTCCTTTCTTTAATTGTGCCATAGTTTTGTGAAGTTACAGGGACAAACTGAGGATCCCAATTTTGACTTGTTACCTAGATATGTTTTATTTTTGGACTGTTTCAAAGCAATGCCATGGACAATAGACCTATGGTTTGTAAAAGTACTGTGTTTTTTTTTTTATTATCAGATTAATTCCTGGTTTACAGTAATGCCTCCATGTAGAGCTGTATCAAGGTTTTAGTCAACTCTGAGCTCTGAGTTTCAAAACAAACCCCACAAAAATTAAATGATTTTTTAATGAATAAAAAGAGGGCACATGCACAAATATATTTCCCATCACTAATCATATCCAGTAAACATGTCTGGCATTCTTTAGATTTTCATTTGACAGTTTTGATATTAACATCTGACAAATAAAACTGTCTAAAATATAAAAGGGGGATGCTTACATATATTATCTAAATTATTACTAAATAAATGTCCTGATATATATAGTTTCTGAACATTGGCAGCTGTTACAAGACGTATCTGCCAGCACAGAGCCAGATTTTGAAGAACAACGAAGTGTGGTGTCAGTCTTCCTACACCTTTTATGCTCTGCACAGGGTTTTGTTTTGTTTTATTTTTTGGTAGTGGTTGTCAAAGACTCCAGCTAATTTCCCTGCTGCAGTCACTGGTGACGCCTGGGGGATCGACACTTCTTGATGGCGGTAGGGTGTGACAGTGTCACTTTAATAAAGGCGCATTTATGCATAAATATATTATTAATTAAGTACATCAACAAACAGATGAAAATAAAAAGAGAAAAATTAACAAAATCCTAGTTACCTTACAAGTACAGTAATTGTATCTTCTGTTCATCTAGGGCAAGCATATCAAACTCGCGACCCACAATTAATTTCTTTGCAGCCCAGCCAATCAGGGGGGTGCAAAAATTACTTGTCAGACTGACAAGTGATTTCTGTGCCCACCTTGGCCTGCGCTCCCTGTGCCCCCAGGCAACATGCCACAGTACACTGGGAGGGGACACACCTCCCTCTCTGCTTAGGAGCCCCGGGTGTCAAGTGACTACCTGGCACTCAGTCAGACACTGTGTGCCACCAGAGAGTAAGAGGCCCCCCTCCCTTGCTATATCAGGTGAGAAACAGCAGGGAGGGGGGCCATCTATCTATAGGGCAGAGCAGAGCAGAGCCGAGCCGGCACTACCATCACCTCAGGTGCCATCTCTGTGAGAGAAACAGCTGTGGGAAGAGAGAAATGGAAGAGAGGTAGAGATGTGAGGGAGAGATATGGAAGGGAAGGAGACATGGAGGGAAACAGACATGGATGAAAGGGGGATAGACATAGACAGAAGGTGAGAGAGACATGGAGGGGACAGAGACATGGATGGAAGGGAGGGGGACAGAGACATGGATGGAAGGAAGGTAGAATAGACATGGATAGGAGGGGGGTAGAATAGACATGGATGGTAGGAGGGTAGAATAGACATGGATGGGAGGGGGGGTACAAGAGACATGGATGGGAGGGGGTTAGAAGAGACCTGGATGGGAGGGGGGTAGAAGAGACGTGGATGGAAGGGGGAGTAGAAGAGACATGGATGGAAGTAGTAGAGACAAGTCTCCCCCCTTCAATCCATGTCTCTTCTACCCCCAGTAGAAGAGACATGGATGGAACGGGCGGTAGAAGAGACTTGGATTGAAGGGGGGTAGAAGTGAGCAGAGTGAAGTGTGCAGCCACACCTCACTCTGCCAGGAGATTGCAGAGGGACTAGGGAGCGAGCAGAGTGGATAGTGCGGCTACCTACATGGCTGAGAGTGCAGTTTGCAGCAGGACTGACAGAGCGAAACAAACCGACATACAGACGCACACACATAGATACAGACACATGCAGATACACATACAGGCACACATATTCACATACAGACACACAGATACAAAGGCACATACAGACATATGCAGATACTCACATACAGACATACAAACACATGCAGACACACAGATACATATATAGACACAAGTATTCACATACAGACACACAGCTACAAATACAGGCACACAGATACACATACAGACAAACATATTTCCATAAAGACACACAGATAAACAGGCAGGTACACAGATTCACATACAGATACACATACAGACATGCATCCAGATACACATACAGACACAAATGCAGATACACAGGTACACATCATCGGAGTTACTACAGGGACACAGCGCTGACTGGGCCTCTCACGACATATTACTATCGGTGGCACACTGAGGGAGCCCATTGGATTTCCCATGCATTTAGGGACTAAATGCATGGGCCATTCGATGGGCTTCCTCAGCATGCTGACCTACTGGCTGCAATCATTTCTTTAACTCCTTAAGGACCAGATTTCTGGAATAAAAGGGAATCATGACATGTCACAAATGTCATGTGTCCTTAAGGGGTTAAATAAATAAATTATTGCGGGCAGAGGGCAAATGGGCAGCTGCTTTAGGCCCCCAGGAGTAACTGGGCCCGGGGCAGCTGTCCCATATGCCCCTAGTTAAAGCCAGCCCTGGGTACATTGGTCATGTTTGGTCTTCTTTTGTAGAGATTACCCTCCGCATTCTGAATATATATCATAGGAGGTATAATTCCTCCCTGGAGTATTATAAATTTGCATATCAAAAGGGCCCAATGAATGCTGAGCAGAGCACCTTAAAAGATGGGCAGCCAACTGGTCTGTAGATGTATATTACACCCCACTTGTAAATGTAAGGTTTTACATCAGGCCAGTGTGACAAAGCTGGATGTTTGGCGTAAGAGGAAGGAACAAACTTCTAACAAAAGGCACATTCCTCTAGTGGTAGAGGCATCCAAATAAAGTTTCCGGTGCTGTAATCAGTCATACAACCCCATTTGGCAACCACTCCATGCATCCACAACACATATCACATTTATTAACAACATTTCTACAGTGAAACAATGAACAATGCTCGTTGGGCGTTACTGGGGTGGTGAGGTTTGAATGCTGCACTCAGTATAGCTTAATTGCAGCACTCATGGTTACTAGTAGTAATTGGCACAGCTGGTGTGTATGCTTTTAGAGTCCACATGACTGTATGCTGGTTTTTGCCAAGGGTATTGACATTGAAAGTGTAAATGTCTCATTGAAATATCTTTATACCTGTGAAAACAATAAACAAAGCATTGACATTCATTGATATGATTTTGTTTTGTTTCTGAGGAGATTTGCTTACTTTTGGGGCAGTTTTATCTGTCATGACAGCCTGTGATTATCTCTTGCAGGACGCAATCTGAAAGCCTGGCTTCAGGATCAGTACTGTGACCACCCTTCAGATCAATGCCAGGACACACGTTTACACAACGCAGCTTGTGTGGGAGACATTGAGACACTGAGAACCCTGTTACAGGATGAGCGTTTCCTGCGGTAATTCCAGGCAAAAGAAATGAGCTCTGGAGATACTGAGTCAAAGAGACAGGCTCACAACCCATATACAAACCTAAATATTTCATCATATTCAAATATAGAGACTTACACAAACAAATATGATATCCCTTTATATCTGTCAAGTTGTAATTCTCTTACAAACTTGCAATATGTTTCTCTTCATCTTATTAAGAAGCCTGTTCTAAGTCATCATCATGTACTTTCACTGTTATCTTAACCCAGGGATATTCTCAAAGATATTATGTACTACCCCAAAATGCTTTTGCACTTTTCTTTTTTTTCACTATCTGTGGATAGTACTTGAAAATGAGAGAAATCTCATTGTATCCTTCCTGGTAAAATATTTTATAAATAAAATAAATAAAAAATGTCACCATAACTATCTTTGATCTACTTTTAGCATGTTTTGGTCTCTTCTGCTCTACAGTCCTTTTTTTAATGTTTATATGCCTCATAAGTAATCCCTTAACCCCTAGAATACTTTGTTCCTTTCCCACTGCTAAAATTCATTCATTATATCTACTTACGACATTTAAGATCACATTGTTCTGTCCCACTCAATTTTTATTTTATTTTTTTTATTCTTTATTTTTCCATCTTGGCAGACATAGTGATTGATCATTAGCATAGTGGCTTGTGCAAAAGCCAAGTAACATGTCAAACATTTGAACAGTGTTAAATAACAGGCAACCAGAGACACTGCATGTTCATCTAAGTAATATCTTCATCACCGTCCACCAAGGAGTTTTTTATTTTTTAGAATAACAATTAACTAATACTAACTTGTGTCCCACTCAAATTTTAACAAGTTTTTCACTTATGCTAACTTGTGATTTGCTCTCTTCTCTATACCACCTTTTTAATTATTCATTATTCAGGTGTATAGATGAGCGAGCCGTGTGGTGCAGTGGTTGGCTGCCCTGCACTCCCTTGAGAATTGCAGCCACTGCTGGTCATGCGGACTGTGTGGCTCTTCTTATCCACTTCGGGGCACAACTGGAGCTCGTAGATGTTAAAGGCCAAACTCCTCTGTATGTAGCGACAGAAAATGGACACTTGGAATGTGTGCAAGTTCTTCTGAAAGCTGGAGCAAACCCCAATGGCAGTCCTCATAACCGAAGCTCTCCAGTGTACAATGCTGCACGTGTAGGGCGTGCTGATATTTTACACGAACTTATTCAGTGAGTACCCATACAGATTGTGTGCATAATAGAGTGTCTACAATGTCTGTGTTTGTAACGGATATATTAAAAGAAAATGTTTTGCATAGTTCCAGTAAAAAGCTGTATTATATGTGTGTGAACATAGATAGAGAATAGCTGTTTCTCCATTAGCAAGATTTGTTGGGGAGGCCTGAGTCGGTTTAAGCCAGCTTTTATCAGCATAATGCAGTGAGTGCTGATCTGTCCATTGAACAGCTTTGCAAAGACAACCTTTTTTCGTTACAGCGAGTTAATCCTTTTTCATGCTATTGCCTGGGTAAGGTACTCCGGAATAAATATCCCAATTTGCTTTCTTTTATTACTGTAAAATGAAATCTAAAGAAATATTTGCTTATATTTCCATTTAACATCCAGACATGGATGAATACTGAAGCCCCAAATGTTCCACTAGATAGAACACTGATTTTCTTGGAATTTCCCCCTCCCTTGTACCTTTCGGCTTACGTAGTGTTGCCATGGATATATCCGGGGAAAACAGAAAATTTACACCATACTCACCAATATTTTCTTTTCCCGGATATGAGCCATGGCAGCACTACGGTCCCACCCTTTCTAATTTTTTTTTTTGTTCATGGCTTTGAACTAAGACTGAAAGGGACAGGGGAGGAAGTCTCTTTTATTAATTAATTAGGAGGTGGTTCCTGTCCAGTTGATAAGGGGAGGAGCTATACCCATACATAGGGCTGCCATGGCTTATATCCGGGAAAAGAAAATATTGGTGTAATTTTCTGTTTTTCTACTATTTTTAGGATTGTTTTGTTATGGAGATGTGATTTGTAAGGGACATGGAACTGGGTGGCAATAATCATTTTCTTTTAGATTTATCTCACACCTCATTCCTAATTTTAAGGCTCTAGCAGTATTGTTATGGTTTCAAAAAGCCCGGACAGTGCTGAGCCACGCTAGTTAGGCTCAAAGTGCCACCATTTTTCTGTAATTGGACAGTTGCAACCTGTCAATATGTCTATAGCAACTTTTCTTTTTTTTGTGTGTTTTTTTTTAGCTCTGCTGCAGCCTTTCATGTCTCTTTTTTTTTTTTTTTTTCGCAATTGCTTATCTTTTGTTGGATTTTTATTGTTAACTTTGGTAGTGGTGGAGATATACTAATTATTCTTTAGTGATCTGAGGTGTATTCTATGTCTGCTTGAGAAGGTGAGGTAATGTACCACAAAATTGCTTCACATGGTAAAATTGCTTTGCTATTAAGCGTGTCTTTTAGAGTAGCGATGAGATAAAAAAGTGACAAACTAATCACTGATTTTGCATAAACATATGTTTTTCTAAACCCTAAACTTCTCTATATTGTAAGGCATAAAAAAAAACAAAAAAAAACTTTCCACAGGCATAGCCGTTCTGAAAATTCCTTAAACACTCAATAAAGACTCTGCTGAGATGAATAATTGCATAAGGCTTTTAAGAAACTTAATTTGATAGAGACAAGTCAATACAGTTGGTTATCTATTCTCCTCCTCTTAGGTTTGGTGCTGATGTTGACATTGATCACCAGCTGTCATTTCGTGGTTCTGGCTGTTCACTTCGGTCTCTGGCCTCCAGCCCATTGTATATCAGTGCAGCATATCACAATGTGTCCTGCTTCTTCCTCTTACTTCAAGCGGGTGCTAATCCAGATTATAATTGCTGGAACACTGAGTGTTTGGTGAACCTTCCACGATCAGGACCATCCTGTTTACTAGAGGCTATCTTGCGTCATGGATTCGACCATGAATTTGTGAAACTTCTTATTGACTTTGGAGCAGATCTGAATTTGGTGCATGGTGTCCCAGCTGTGGAACAGCACCCACAAATGAGTTTGAACCCCAGAGCTATACAACTTTTCAAAGAGGCAAAAAGTAAGTGTTTTTTTTTTTTATGTAAGTGAAAGGCTATATGAGAACATGCAAGTAAAGGCAAGCAGTGTGTGTATGATGAATTCATACTTTCCATGGGTGTGGAATGCAGGTCAATGAAACATACATAACATCAAAAACATTCCCTTGCTTGTTGTAGAATGCTCTATAGGTATTAATTTACCTTTAATTTAATTTTAACCCCTGTTACTGACATACTGAGCAAGCACTAAAAACGGTGGAACAGGGACCAACATTTTCACTTGCCATTGGTAAGTGGTAGTACAGCCTTAGAAAGCCTGAGCAGGCCCAGAGATATGGCAGAGGGTGGGGGTAAATGGTGCAAATGTTGGATGCCATTTGGTATAGCATTTTACTTTTACAGGTGGCTACATAGTACATGCGACTGTTGATTTTGTGGCCTGCTTATAGTGGAGAAAATTCTTTTTCAGAAGGCTCAAGAAATAGAACCATTGTTAGTTGAAAGTAACACATACATAAGATTTAAGCATGCTTTCTCCATCTCCTGTCAACTTTTTTTCGGTCAAAAAAAGGCTCTTGTATATCCCCACTGTATAACTTTGCTGCAGAATATGTTGCTATTAAAAAAGTTAATAAAGTCAATTGAACTCTACCTTTGCTAGTTTTTATCTTCTCAGATCCCTGCATAATTACAGAATTAGCAAGGAGCTGTGCAGATCATAACTGCAAGAGGTACAGTTCCATGCTTTACCTTGCAGTCTGCTAGATGTCAGAGATGTGGCCTCCCTATATGGAAAAAGTAGACAAACAGGAAGCATAATAATGTGAAAAAATAATTTAAAGTGTAAGTTTATTGCGAAGGTTTGGTTACATGAGGAATGAGTGGCAAATGTTTTGAGTAACGTGGAATTGGGTATAGGTGTGCAAATACATTTATAGCCCTGTAGTCACAGACTTTCATTCTACCCTACTGAAAAGAAGTACTATGCGTGCATGTATATTGAGTAACTTATAAGACATGGCTAGAACTGTAGGACTTGAAATTATGTGTCGTGCCATGAATACTTAATATATGCAAACCAAGCCTTTTATTTTAAATCAACTGTCAATTTGTTTTATATCTACATGGATTAGGTTGTTTTTTTTTTTTTTCTGACCACTGGATCAATCAATATATGTGTCCTGCATCTTTTACTTTTTTCCCTTTCTAACATCTAACCTTTGGTTGCTGATGGTAAATTGCTACCTCTGTTGTAGGTTGTCCACGGACCCTCTCCCAGATGTGCCGTATAACTGTGAGAAGGGCACTTGGGAAACACAGACTGTCCTCTGCCTGCAGGCTGCCTCTACCTCCCCGCGTCCTGAGCTTCCTTCTGTATGAAGACACATGCAACACCTGCACCTGAGAAAACCAAAAACACATCACACTTAGGAATGTGCTCCACGCTGAAATCATATGATGCATGTTTCCTTTGCTGGGGGAACTTGTTTTCTTTGAGAGTGCCTTATTGCTTATAATAAGTTAAAAAATGACACGAAGATGCTCATGTCACTGGTGAGTCACTAGAGAGTACAGAACAAAATGTCTTATGGTATTGCTGGAGCAGTTGATAATTATCTACTCCAAAATTTGTATATAAGAGTGTGGCCTTGAATGTATTTTCTTCCTAGGTATGACTTATCTGTTTGACCTGACACGTGTGTTCATGCCTTACATGCCTGCCCGCCACCATTTTTTGTATTATTAAACTCATTGTGGTTCTTTTAAGAACGCCAAGGAAAAGAAAGCTATTGCACTATAATGTGGAAATAACTATTTTTATTCAATATGTATCACCAGTGTAAAACCTTTTCTACAAGCAATGCATGTTTTTTCCCTGTATATATCCAGGGGATGTAAACATACTTGTTGTTTTTATCTACTTGATTAAGGAGGTTAATTGGGATAAAAGAATAACCTGCTAAACCAACTTTAATTTGTAGTTGAAGGAGAGGACGCAATTTTAAGGAGGTATTTTTTAGCTTCTGTACAGGAATAGAAAAATGATTAACTGAATGGGGGTGCTTATAAGTGCTTTTATTGTTAATTTATTAATGAAATCATATATGAGTGGTATTACACTTTACAACGATAAAAAAAACACAAAATAAAGTGTCACAACATGCTAATACTCCAATGTGTAGTCTGTTTAATTTATATAGGTTTCAAATGTATACTGTACTAATCACAAGGTATACTGTATTAATACCTTCTACTTAATGTTCACTTTATCAATAAGTGTAGTATAGTCACAGATACCCAAATCTACATAGATAGGGATTTGGGATAGCTGCAGGTTTTTTGAGTGCTGGTGATTGTAGTGTACTAGCAATTAGCAGCTAGTGATAGGCTGAGACTAACTCCCAATGCTTCTTAATGATTCCCTTCTCTGCTCAGAACAGTGACCAAGCAGAGAAAGGGCTGGAGAGCGTCCTCAGGAGCATCCTAGGTGTTATGTGTTTCAAATTGCCTTAACTGCTTGAGGTAAGATTGTACAAAGGAAAACAGGTTGCGCCTACAGTTTCTGTAATGGCAAGAATCTGGTCTCCTATTTTGTTACATACAGGTAAGGCTCAAGATTTTCCTGTCAGAGCACTTGTATTGGTTGACTTAAAAGCCTTTCTCCGGAGCTCAGTCTGCGCGGTGCCTTGGGTGAAGATAGATTATCTTTTGTGTCAGGTTTAATTTTATTTTTGGCGTGTTTTTTTATGCGCTCAGGTTTTTTTACTTTATAAGTTCAACAGGAATTATGGATTTTTATTTGGCCTTTTTAAAAAATAAGCTTTATAAAAAAAAAAAAAAAAAAAAAGACATCTGTTAAGTATGATTTTTTAAAAATGTATTTAGCTTATTTCTTCCCCCCTCACTATTTGTAGGGGGAGGGAGGGAGGTAGGTAGGGTTTTATTTTATTGGTGCGGGTGACTAGGGGCTTGGGAACCCCTAGTCACCTGGGGAGGAAATTTTTACATTTAGCCCCCACCCTTCACCAGTGGGTGGGGGTAGGCAGTAGATCCCCCCTCTTTTGTCACTTAGGGCTCCCACCTGCCACACATTGGTGGAGGGAGACAATAGGTCCTCCCCTTTTGTAACTTAGGGCCCGCATCCACCGCTCGTGGGTTGGGACCGAAGAGGACACTAGGTCCCCTGTTTAGTTTTGTAGCCCCCCCCCCAAAGTCCCTACTTAGTCTTTTGTTTTAAAGAAAGCAAGATCATATAGGAAGAAATAAAAAACAGATTCTGAGAGAGGAAGAGAAGTGGAAGAGATTGGGGAAAGGTAAGTTCGGCACGACAGTGCCACTTTAATGCAGTGAAGGCTCTTGTTTCTGTGTATTTGATGTCCTACACTTGCCCACTCTCCAGCTTTGGATTTGTAAGGCTGGGAAAATGTCTAGCATGAAAGCACTCACTGCCTCTTTATACAACAGATCTGCTAAATTGTGGTACCTTTGGCTCATGTATATAGCTTGGGGGTTCCATGCGGCTTCGATATTTTTCAAGTGGGTGTTAGGTCTATACTTAGACACATTATGTAGGGTTTATTTTATAGTTTGCACTTGAGATGGGTGTATATTGCTGGTCCACCTTGTTCTTTTTATCTCTCCGCCTCTCTTTTCTATTCTCTTTCTTATTTTGTCTCCCTTTTCTGCTTCTCTTGACAAATATTTGATCAATAAAAGATTGTCAAAAATTAAATACACTCCAAAGCCAGTCAGAAAAACTTTTTCGTGAAAAAATTACACATATCAATGGTGTACAAAACATATTGGACATAGCAGCAAAACACACACACTGCATTTAAGTTATGTTGGTGCGTAGAATTTTCCTTTACTATGCGTAGATTGCTCTCTGCAATATCACTAGAAGTAGGGATTAATTAAATTAATCTAAATGATACCTTAGCTGCCGAGAGTCTCGGCAGACTACATTACTTATTGCAGTAGGGTCTAGGCCTCACAAAGGTAGGTATAATCTGTAAATCCAAAATGCAGTTATAGACTAGGTTAACAAGTACAGATGATTAACTCATAATGGAAAATACAGGGATAGAAAGGAGTAAAACCAGACATCAGAATGTCTGGGCTTAACATGAAAAAAAAAAAAAAAAAAGACACCAGAACAATGTAAAAAATATATACCAAAACTAGCCAAAGTCAGGAATCCAAAAATCAGGTAGTCAGTTCAGTAGCGGGAAATCAGATAGTCAGTCAAGCGAAAGTCAGGGCAGGCAGCAAGCAAGAATGGTCAAGAACAAATAAAATTAAATAAGAATAAATTAAATTAAACAGGAACACAGAAAACTCCAAACTCTGAGCCAAAAGAACAGCACAAAAAAAAATCTGCTGGCAAAAAGCCAAAGGAGAGCCTTTTTAAAGGCCTAGACTAGGCAAAGGCAACCTTCGGCACTCCAGATGTTTTGGACTACACCTACCATAATTCTTTGCCAGCATTATAGGTGTAAGAGCATTACGGGGGAGGTAGTCCACAACATCTACAATGCCGAAGGTTGCCTATCCCTGGTCTAGACTGTGATGTCATATTCATGAGCCCTGACACTTAAAGAGACAGTGTCTAATTTTAAACAATGGGTGATATTTAACCCTTTCCTGACGTTAGAGTGCTCTAACAATTGAGCCCAAAGTCCCTTTGTGCCAGATCCGGTGGTTACTAAAAAAAAAGACTAGACATAACCTATTTTGTCAATCTTTCTTTTATTAAGGCATTTGATTTGGGTGATACAGAATAAAGAAAGGGAGATGGACGAGATATACACAAGATTGGGTTATCACAGCATGGTTTAACATCTAGATATGACTGCCTCTTTTTTTTTTTTATTAAGTAAGAGATAATTACGCTAAACTGGTGCGTCAAGACTATGAACAGATGTAAAGTTTAAACATTAAAGATTTTGTTTGTAAGAGTTAAAGAACCACTATAGTGCCCTGAGGGTGCCCCCACCCTCAGGGTCCCCCTCCTGCCGGGCTCTGGGGAGAGGAAGGGGTTAAAATCTTACCTTTCTCCAGCGCCGGGCGGGGAACTTTCCTCCTCCTCTCCTCCTTCCTAGCGACGTCATTGGCTGAATGCGCATGCGCGGCAGGAGCCGCGCGCGCATTCATCCAGTTCATAGGAAAGCATTTACAATGCTTTCCTATGGACACTGGCGTCTTCTCATTGTGATTTTCAATCTGGCACAAAGTATATTATGACATGTAAGAATTACTTGAATGGTAAGCATTTCACACACATCGAGGCAGGATACTACTATAGAGAGATACTTGTGAGTTATTCGGAATGTAGGCTGAGCTTATTGATAGTATGATCGATGTATGTGATAAAACAAAAGATGCCAGAGTTACAAAAGGAGAAAGAAAACTAGTGTAAGTAACATGCTAAGGTATGATAAAAGTGCACGTTAGTAGTGTATCATATAGTGGATAGGGTTAAACCACTGAGGCCAGTAAGATCGCCAGGTCAGCTCAGGGCGAGTACTTGCTGGCCGCTGACAGCGTTAAGGAGCTCCGCTGGGGGGGGTTTACTTAATGGCATGGTGGTGTCAAGGCATTATTTGAAGAAAAGAAAATAAGAGGCAACAGGCCTAAAGGAAACATAAACACAAGCATGTTGAGCAGTCGGTCTTGCAGATTGAGCGAGTTTGGCATTCAGCCGACTCCCTTGTGTGGTCTTCCCTTCAGGTAGTTAGACAGTCCATGCCATGGTTGATGAGGCGCATCTGCCCTTGCTTCACCTTTCCAGTTTCCAAGTCTGTGTGGACTGGGTACTGTTACCTGCCGCCAGGATGTGGGTCAGCGAGGTCTTCGGCCCAAGGGCTTTGCGGGAGCCCTTTCCTGAAGTCCATTGATTCTTTCATCAGGATCGTGGGCCCGTGCGTCTTTCAGGTTCCTAATAGACCTCTGGTTATATGGACGGCGGTGGAGGGTTACCTCCATTTGGGCCCCCAGCTTGGAAGAACAGGCATGGAGTCCAGCAGTACCATCCAGCTGTGCTGCAGGAGGTGCGGGCAGACGTGTGCTCTGCTCCAGAGAAGCCTCTGGCTGGGGTGGGAGGTTAGTTACAAGAGGGTCCTTGTGGGGCCCTGGGGCGGCTTGGGGTGATATCCCCCGAGGTGGGTTGGCAAACCGGCACCAGAATTTCTGACATATAGCTTTAAACCTGTCATTGAAGGAGTCCAGCCACTCCTGTGCCCCCTTGTTAGCGCTTACGGTGTCTCCCGTCCGGCGTCCATTTTGGATTTGCCTCGTGGGCCGCGTTGCTGCAAGTGGATTGCTGCTTTGGCATTTGTTGCCTCAGTGGGGACCGGGATATCCCCCACCGGTCCAGAGGGGGAGGGGGGGAGAACGGGTATGTGGCAGGTCCCACTTGCAGCAGCGCCACGTAGTCCAGGGCGATCGGTTGTTTCAACTGTCCGTTAGTGAAAAGCAGCAGGTGTGTTGCTCCAGTTTTCAATAGCCTCCCTCTGGGCCTCAGCAACTATTACTTAGCAGAGTAGTGTGATTTGTGTGGGCTGGCTGCCGGTTTTTCAGGCTGATTTGGATGGTGAGATCTGGAGCTCACCCGAGGTTCAGCAAGCCGCCATGATGCCCAGGCCCCACCCCCGTCATAACCTATTTTGCATACCCTGGGTTGTCTACTTTTGCAAAAGGTATGCCATGATGGAGATCATTTTCATCTCTGGGCTGCCATATGGTCTCAAAGGCAACATAGGCCCAGCAAACCAATCTGGCAAATTTTAATATGTAAAAACTGAAAAGAGGAAAGTACTATATCTGACCCTATAACTTTCTATAACCCTATAGATCTTGTGCATGGGGGTATGGTTATACTCTTGAGACATCACTCAAATTTTTTTTTTTTTTTAATGTATTTTATTTCAGTAAAAGCGAACAGTATTATGACATTCACTGTCAAAATGCCAAGCAGAACTTGGAAAAGAACAACATTTCTTAATTTCTCACAGTTTTTTTTAGATTTTATTCATTTTAAATTATTTTTCATACATGAAAATATGATGTTATATGAAAGCCCTATTTCTCCTGAACAAAATTATATATAATCAATGTGGGTGCACTTAAAGGGATTCTATAGTGGCAGGAAAACAAAGCCATTTTCCTGGTACTCTAGAATCCTACAATGCCCCCCCTCCCGCACGGCTGAAGGGGTAAAACCCCTTCAGTCACTTACCTGAATCCAGCACTGATGTTCCTCGGTGCTGGGTCACGCTCCTCCCCCACTAGCTGATGCAATGCCACGAGAGGTAAATTATTTTTGAACAGACATATAGTTGAAATTCCAGGTTTTGTTTTGGTTCAGAACAATTTTACAATTGCCTCTGTCTCTAAGGGGTTAAAGAGACAATGCCCAATTTCATTTTTGTAATTTTTTTTTAATCTTCATTTTCAGAGCCTTTTTCATAGTAATATAAAGTGTGAATACAATCTAATAGGCAATGCAATTTCAAAGATTCAAAACATTGAAGCCAATCTAATTCCACAATAGAGATGCAGAAATATAAAGACAACACCTATAATCTTCAATGTGTATACATAGAAGTGAGCATGAAATATCAAAAACATTTCCTTTCCCAGACAGGAAAACTAGAGGTTGAATAACAATCAGAAAAATAGGGAATTGCATAAGACTAGATTAACACAGGTTATAGGTGATTTTACCACATGACAGGAGGCTTCATAATTTGCACTGACTTTCTTTACTCCAGCAGCAACAAGTCAATGAAAAAACTTTAACCAATCAAAACCAACAGCCATTACAGATATAAGGTAGGACAGCCCCCAACTCCTGCTCTTTCTTTGCTGCTCCTGCAGGAATAGGTCAGAGTATATGCTTCTTAGCTTGTCACTGTATTATACAATCCTATTTTACTGATTTGATACTTCATTCTGTCACAATAGGTTTTCTTGCCAATCCTAGGCGAACTCCAATTGCACTGAGCAAGGGGTCTGCCCACCAGGCCTTGAATAGGCAAGTGGTCTAACACATATGTCCTCTATTCTACAAGACAACATGTATACAACAAACACAGGATTTCCAGGTGATGATAAACGCTGCAGTGGCAGCTTCCATGGAGAAAGCAATCTCCAAAATGTTATCACAGGTCCCGCCTGAAACTACCCAATCAAGCTATGGGGCCAAAACAGCAAGATGCGGACGATACTATGGGCTCTTAGGCTCCCTCTAAGGACCTCCAATCCCTTATGAAATGCCAAGGAGCTGACCTCAATGTGCCATATGCCTGGACAAAAGGGAAGGCACCTGCTAAACGCAGCAAACATATGTCTAGACCGAAATTACCCCCACTGGTGGTTTCCTCGGAGGAGGAAGAGGCCTATCCCCAGAATTATGAGGTCATCATTGAAAGGCCTTCAAGTCAGATGAAGAGTGTGACTGGCAAAATGTTACCTACTCGGAATTGAAATACATTAAAGAGTCTTATGCCGAGGATTCTTTCTCACAGGATACACAAGGATCCTTCATAATTGAAAGTGAGGGGTTATTCCTAGACGCTCAAGGTTGCCCTCTCTTTGACCTTCGGACCATCCGTCATCCACTGTCCTCAGAATGGAAGCTGCCTAACCACCTAGCCAAGTTCGTCCACTTCTGAATGCGCAAGCCAATAGATCGGATGGTACGAGCACGTCTTAGGGTGGAATGCCCACGACCCATGCTGCCAGATAAAATTACATGAACCCCCGAATTTGACGCAACCCACGGAAAATGAATCGAGAAGGGACTCAAAGCATCTCACGACAAATTACTGGATTTGCTTGCCCCCTGTTTTTCTGTATTTCGCGGACCTGGCACTCTCACAGACCCAAACGCCATCAGAGAATGGGCACAACCCTGTATCAGTATGCTGGGGGAATGCAAGCGCAGCGTTATGCACAGAAAGACGCAGAGTGGCCCTTTTATGAATCAACTCGAAGCTAATGAATATGGCCCATAAAGAACTGGGGTCTTCAGCCAACGGCCTGCTTTTTGACAATTCATTTATTGCAGAACTCAAAAAACATATCTCATTGTTCACCACTCTCAAGAAGGTCCAATCGTCTATGAGACAGGCGTTCCGCTCACCACCAGGAACTCATCCCTCTACAGGGGAATGGGGACATTTTAACACAGGTCCTCATCACCACCACGGACCTCATTTTAACACAGGTCCTCATCACCACCACAGACCTCATCCCTCTACAGGGGAATGAGGACATTTTAACACAGGTCTACCGTTCTATACAAATGTGTCTACACTAACAGCAGGCAGGTTATCCCTTTATTTACAGAATTGGGAAGAAATCTTGTCAGACACATGGATCTTGCAAACTGTACAAGACTTCCACACCCTACCTACCCTATCAAGTACAACAACGGCCACTGTTACGAACCTCAACTGAACATGAGGCCCTGATTGACAAAGAAATCAGAATTCGCTATTCCAAAGGTGCGGTTCAGTATGCTCAAGGCAAGAACGGTTTCTTCAGCAACATATTCCTTGTGCGAAAGAACACCGGAGACTTTCAACCTGTCATCACTACAACAACTCAACTTATTCGTAGTATACATCATTTCAAGATGGAAGGGATCCACTTGCTTCGAGATCCTCAAAGACTATTGGTTCACCCGACTGGACCTCAAGGATGCTCAGTCATGCCGAAGATTCTTACAATTCCGTTGGCACAACCGGACATGTCAGTTCACCTGCCTACTTTTTGGACTCATCTTCACAAAGCTGGTGAAACTGGTCATGGCTCGCCTTCGATCACTAGGGATACAGTGCATAATCAGTTTGGACGATTTTCTGCTATTCTGCGACAAGGTTTCATGACTACATTCAAACAAAATTTGGGATTCGCGGTGAATCACGACAAGTCCGTGTTGGAACCGTCACGCGTCGTCCAATTTCTGGGGTTTGAAATCGACTCAACCTCCTACATATTCAGACTACCCCTCAAAAAGATAGCCACTATGCACAAAGAAATTTTGAAGATACTGTGTATGGATCACATTAATCTATGTCTCCTCGCTCGGGTCGTGGGACTACTCTCCACTTCCATACAGGCTATCTACCCTGGTCCTCTACATTACTGAGCCATGCAGCGACTGAAGGCACACTATCTGCACTCTGGAACCTCACACAACCAGACAATACCTCTTACATCCGAGGTACGGACATAACTCCGATGACTTCTCCACAAGCAATTTAAAAACAAATTTATTGAAAAGAACTATTTAAGAATAAAATTAGATACCACTTTGGACACAGTGAAAAATAAAGACAGAAACGCCCTATTAGAATATAAAGGAAATGCAAGTAAAAAAGACCCGCCAATATTACCTATTATTTTGGATTTTAATAATAAAAATAAAATTAAAAAAAATATATTAAATAAACATTGGCGTATTCTAGATGATCTTCTGAAAGACCAAATTCCAGACAGACCTAATATTATTTTTAGAGGAGCTCCTAGTTTTTAAAAACATGCTTACAAAGAATTATACTAGAAATAACATACAAAATAATAAAAGTTTTATGTCTAAACCAAAAGGTTTTTTTAGGTGTAATAAATGTATTCTGTGTAAAACCACAAATTCATTAATCAAATCTAAGACCACTCACTTTTCCTCGACTAACACAGGCAAGTCATACCCTATAAAAGATTTTATTGGTTGTAAATCGAAAAATATTATCTATCTTCTAGAATGCCCTTGCGGGCTGCAATACATAGGCATGACTAAAAGATGTTTAAAAATAAGATTAGCCGAACATTGTCGAAATATTACTAAGGGATATGAAAACCATTCTGTATCAAAACGCTTTATCAAACACAATAAAGACCCTAAATTACTTAAATGTATGGGTATAGAACAATGTAACACCCCTTGGAGAGGGGGAGATATGAGAAAAATTCTTGGAAAGAGAGAAATGGAATGGGTATTTCAACTTAAGACCCTCTCTCCAGAGGGTCTTAACCTTGATTTTGATCTTTTTAATTTTCTATAAAATAGTTTTTTACATTGATTCCTGTTTTATAGAGTTATTTGTATATGTATATATAATAGTCTCTTTTTTTATTTATTTCCCTTTTATGCTTTTTATCACATTTGTTTTTTAATCATATATGTTCTTATCTAACATTTTTAAACATATTTTATCTATTATGCACAAAATGCCTTCTATTCAGACATTTAAAATGTGCACAAATATCTGTCACACTCCATCTCTATTTTTATTTATTTCTACCCCATTTCGTTTTTTAACATATCTTTCCAATTCTTATTTTTATTTTATTAGCTGTTTTTTTGTTTTTTTATTTTATTTTATTTTTCATATTTCCCAATGTTGGTGTGCACTGTTGCTTTAAAATCGCAACAAGCGATCTTTATTCCATATAACTATTATAGAACTCCCTTTTCTGATGAAGTCTCCGCCTACAAGATTCTCTATCTGGCGATCTGGGAGTCATATTAACAATGCCCTTTTTTGCCTACAACTCCCATCTTCCTCCTTGGCGAAGCACATGACGTGGGCACGCTATTGGTTGCGTTATGTCACGTGACCGCCCGAACCCGGAAATTACTTGTTCTTCTATATGTATACGATTATTCTCACTGGGTCCCATATTATCATTACCCCCTCTCAACTACACTTCCCATTCTCCCTCACGGCAAAACTTGTGACGAAAAGACGCCATTGGTTGCGTCACGTCACATGACCGGCCGAACCCGGAAATATTTTTTCTTTTACTTTTAACACTAATGTTTTGTATATAACCAAATCGTATTGTAACTAATTTGAGTCTAATTATGTGGTTTTGAAGTCTATTTATTACTGTATAAATTTTATTCAGTTTTAAAAAAGATGACAACTATTTGGTGCATAAATTATGATGTAATTTTGGCGCGAATTTTGAAATTGCTAATGGACTTATTGTTTATATAAACCATTCCATACCAGGTCTATGTTTTTTAAATTGCCAGTTGATAAAGCCCTGTGTGGCGAAACGCGTTTTGGCTATTTTATAATTTTATATGTGTATAAATAAAGGAATATTGGCTAGTATACTTTTTCTTTTCTTGCCACATACCCTTTATTTTATTTTATCTTAATTTTATTTTATTTCTGGACCTGGTTATATCTATATACAATATTATCCATTTGTTCAAGAATCCTAGGTGGGGATTGTATCACCTACGCCAAAAAGAGTGAGCAGTATATCCTGCTCACCCAAATGTGAGTATTCCACATATTTTTATTTTCTCTCCATCTTAACACTAATACAGTGAGCACTATATTTGTGTTATTTTCTTCTCTTCCGAGGATTTCCTTCACCTACAAATACCAATACCCCATCAGTGGGGGACTAATACCACTGAGTGCGAATCATACCTGAGCTAGTCCAAGCTCGGAAATAGGTGAGTGCTATACTTTTTCGTTTTAATTCCAAAGAAGCTCAAGCTACAGTCTGCACTATTGGAATTTCCTTCTGTTCTATTTGCATATTTTCACCTGGAACAAGAAATATCGATTATTCCTCTACTTTTATTGGTATGGACTATCACCATTTCCCAGCCTCTCAAGTGGACCTGGCCATTTTGTTCACCCTAGAACTTATTTCTTTTCTAATGTACTGATATATGTAAGTACATATTATATTATCACTATATCTTTATTAGTTTCTCATGGTGATAATTTTTATCTTTGATTTATTATCTTACTATTTTGTATTTTTTTTGTATATGGTTTTTGGCACGACCTATAACCCCCTATCTTCCAGATTCTCCACAAGCAAGCCTGGAATTGGAAAGGGTGGTGGAATCGGACGCCAGCTTTTGAGGCTGGGGAGCACATTGTACAGGCTCATCCATAGGAGGACCTTGGTTACTCGAGGAAAAGGAGTTGCACATCAATTGCCTGGAACTGATGGCAGGCTCCTTTGCCATCTGCAGTTTGGCCAGCCACATGTTCGACTGCTGCATTCTGTTACGCATGGACAACATCTCAGTGGTACAATATATCAATTGTCTGAGCAGAGCCCGCTCTTGGGCACTATCAGATGGAACGAAAGACATTTACAGTTTCTGTCTCTCATGCATCACGCTACAGGTGGACTGGTACTCCCGACATTGGCAGGACGGCAACAACTGGCACCTTCACGAGTCGATATTCCACAAATTGTACAAATGCAGGGCCCCTCTAATTATCGATCTATTTGCTTCACAGAACAATCGCCAACTTCCCAGATTCTTCAGCTGATTACCGGATCCGGAATGCAAAGCAGTAGACCTCTTCCGCCAGAACTGGCCGAACCTGGGGGCTTATGCCTGTTCTCCATGTTGGCGAAAGTACACCAGGTACGCACCCAGAAGATATTTCTGCTCCTCTTGACACCACTGTCGCAGAGTCAAGCGTGGTTCCTGGACCTACTGGAACTATCCTACGACCATCCTCTCCTCCTACTCTCAATTCCCCTTCTATTATCCAGCCCTCAGGGAGAACCTCCCCCATCTTGTACTACAAGAACAACTAGAACTAGTGGCTTGGACAATTTCAGGGGAACTTGGTCTACAGATGGCCTATCGCAGCTTCCAAGGGACCTGCTATGGAACTCGTGGACACCCGAAATAGACGGAGTTACCTAGCCGCCTGAAACAAATGGCCTAGCTGGTGTTTGGAGAGGGACTCCAATCCCTTCACGGCACCTACCCCCATGATTTTAAACTTCCTATCTCACTTATTCTCTTCAGGTAGATTGTATCGGTCCATCAATATTACACGATCGTTGATTTTGGCATCTCCCATTCCGATCCAGGAGCGACCAGTGAGTCAGGATTCTATGATCTGTAGACTTTTGAGAGGTATTCAGTTATCAAATCTTCCAGCTCTGAAATATTCAAGGCTCTGGGACCTCGACGTGGTGTTATGATTTTAACGGGAATGGTCGGACAACGCTTCGCTGTCCTTACAACAACTCTCAGCGAAACTGACAGTACTGTTTTGTCTGGTTTCCTTTCGTCAGGTTGCGGACGTTTGGGCCTTTGACATTACTGGTTTCTCCTTCAACCCGGATGGCACGTCTTTCTCGATTTCCCAGTGTACTAAAATGAACTCAACAATGTTTTTTTACCCTTTTTTTCTTACGGAACCTCAACTTTGCGTGGTCAAGGCGATACTCCACTACTTGGAGACTACCGCCCCTTTACATGGCTCTCCGACTGGTCAACTTCTTGTGTCATATACCAAACTGCACAAACTGGTCTATACTACTACTCTCGCTAGATGGGTATGCTGGCTTCTGAATTTGGCAGGTGTCAAATCTTGTTTTGGTGCTCACTCTGTGCGGGGCGAAGCATGCTTTTTCGACGAGAGCATCTCTCTCAAATATCATGTGTACGGCGGACTGGTATCGGGAAGAGACCTTTCTGATTTTTTATTTCCTTCCTTCCTCTCACGCTTCTTTTTCTCTATTATTATTTTATTATTTATATAGCGCCAACAAATTCCGTAGCGCTGTACAATGCGTGGACTAACAGACACATAATTGAGATCAGACCACTGACGTACAGGAACAGAGGGGGTTGAGGGCCCTGCTCTGAGCTTACATGCTAGAGGGAGTGGGGTATAGTGACACAAAGGGTTAAAGTAGGGGAATTACACAGTTTGATAGAGAAGGGTTTATTGAGTGCTTGGTAGGTAATTTTTGACAGTTGCAGGAAAGGAGTCATGGGGTGAGGGATGAGAAACCTGCTGACAGTTTAATTGATATGCTTTAATGAAGAAGTGAGTTTTCAAAGATTTTTTGAAGGAGTGGAGGCTGGGTGAAAGTTTGATTGAGGAGGGAAGGGAGTTCCACAGAATAGGTGCAGCCCTGGAGAAGCCTAAAGGCGAGCATCAGAGGTGGGGATCCGGGCAGAGGATAGGTGTAGGTCTTGGTCTGAGCGCAGGGGTCTCGACGGGACATACTTGTGTATGAGGGAGGATAGGTATGTTGGAGCAGCATTATGTAGGAATTTGTAAGCAAGCGCCAGAAATTTGAATTGGGCCCTATATCTAACTGGAAGCCAATGCAGGGACTGACAGAGCGTGGAGGCATGGGAGGTGCGACCGGACAGGAAAATAAGCCTCGCAGCCGCATTCATTATAGATTGCAGCGGTGCAAGTTGGGAATATGTAAGACCGGTGAGAAGGGGATTGCAGTAGTCAAGGCGAGAGAGAACAACAGCATGAACCAGTACCTTAGCCGCGTCCGGCGTTAGATATGGGTGGATGCGCACTATGTTTTTGAGTTGGAAGCGACAGGATTTGGCTATCGATTGGACATGGGGAGTAAAAGAGAGATCAGAATCAAAAAGAACCCTTAGGCAGCGAGCCTGCGAGGTAGAGGTCATAGTAGTGCCGTTGACTTGGATGGAGACAGACACAGGAGTAGCAGCACTTGAGGGAGGAAAAACTAGAAGTTCTGTTTTGGACAGGTTGAGTTTAAGGAAGTGAGCAGCCATCCAGTTGGAAATAGCAGAGAGGCAGTCAGAAACACGAGTCAAGGTGGGCGGAGAGAAATCAGAGGTAGATTTGCGCGTCATCTGCATATAAATGATATTGGAAGCCAAAGGAGCTGATGAGTTTACCAAGGGAGGCAGTATATATAGAGAACAGTAGGGGCCGAGGACAGAACCTTGCGGGACGCCAACAGAGAGGGGTTGGGGAGAAGAGGCAGAGCCAGAGAAAGAAACACTGAAAGAGCGCTGGGAGAGGTAGGAGGAGCACCAGGAGAGAGCAGTATCCCATAGACCAAAGTTACGGAGAATGTGAAGAAGCTGTTGATGCTCAACAGTGTCAAAGGCGGCAGAAAGATCAAGGAGGATTAGGATAGAGTATTGGCCGCGAGATTTAGCAGCAATTAAATCGTTGGATACTTTGGTCACAGCAGTTTCGACAGAATGACCAGCGCAGAATCCAGACTTAAGGGGGTCAAGCAGAGAGTTGGATTCGAGAAAGTCTGTCAATCTGGCGTACACAACTCTCTCGAGGATCTTGGAGGCAAATGGCAGTAGCGAGATAGGGCGGTGGGGAGTTGGGATCAAGATTTGGCTTTTTCAGAATTGGGGTTACGGTTGCATGTTTGAAGGGTGAAGGAAATGTGCCAGTGGAAAGGGAGAGATTGAAAATGTTAGCGAGAGGAAGAGCAAGAGAGGGAGGTAAAGTGCGGATGAGATGCAATGGAATAGGATCGAGGGAGCAGGTCGTGGGGCGGGACGGGGGGGAGGACAGGAGCAGAGCAAAAACCTCTTGTGCTGTAGCAGGTGCAAATGAGCATAGGATGGCAGGGGGAGTGGGGTTGGGTGATGTATTGATAGGGTTAGGAGAGAGATTAGAGATCTCTTTTCTGATTGTAGAGATCTTCTCAGTGAAATGAGATGCAAAGTTTGTGGCTGACAAGGTGGTGGAAGGAGGGTGAGTCACAGGGTGAAGAAGAGCATCAAAAGTGTGAAACAGGTGTTTGGGTTAATGGGACAGTGTGCTTATGAGGGTGTTGAAGTAATTTACTTTTGCAGAGGAAATAGCGTGAATAGCATTAAAATCACAAAATAGGAAGCCTCCTGTCATGTGGTAAAATTGTAGATTATGCTAACGTAGTGTATTTATAATCTTAAAGGACCACTATAGTGCCAGGAAAACATACCCTCAGGGACCCCCTCCCGCCAGGCTCTGGAAAGGGGAAAAGGGGTAAAACTTACCTTTTTCCAGCGCTGGGTGGGGAGCTCTCTGCCTCCTATCCTCCTCCGTTCCGCCCCGTCGGCTGGCTGCGCGCGCATTCAGCCGGTCGCATAGGAAAGCATTATCAATGCTTTCCTATGGACGCTTGCGTGCTCTCACTGTGATTTTCACAGTGAGAATCACGCAAGCGCCTCTAGCGGCTGTCAATGAGACAGCCGCTAGAGGCTTTGGGGGAAGGCTTAACCCATTGATAAACATAGCAGTTTCTCTGAAATTGCTATGTTTATAAAACAATGGGTTAACCCTAGCTGGACCTGGCACCCAGACCACTTCATTCAGCTGAAGTGGTCTGGGTGCCTAGAGTGGTACTTTAATTTTAGTAATGACAGGGCCGAGTATTTTACATCCCTTTTTTCTCTCTTTTATTTATTTGTGCTTACCCTTGTCTATGAATTACTTTGTCTATAGTTTGGATTTTAATTTTAATAGACTGTATCTACGACTTCTAAATGTGTTGGCTAGTAGTATTGATATATCCTGTCTAATTCATCTAAATTATTGAGTTTCATACTATTCAATTTTATAAACATTATAATATATATTTCTGAACAGAACTGAGATGTGGAATACGGTCATTACCAGTACCTTTCATTTGTTTCTCCTCCTTTTCAGTATGAAAACCTCTATCGACTGCAATCAGGATATGACTTTCTCAACAATACGTTACGGTTCAGAGTTACCAGAATGCTCAAGTTTCTACAGTTTTTCATTTCCAGTTAAAGGGACTCTCCAGTGTCTGGAAAACAAACCGTTTTTCTGACACTGCAGGATCCTGCAGTGCCCCCCTCCTGTCTACCCCCCATCCCATGTTGGTGAAGGGGTTAAAACCCCTTCAGTGACGTACCTGAATCCAGCACTGATGTCCCTTGGCACTGGGTAAGTCTCCACCCATGCACCTCCCCCCGCCGACATCAGCCGGGAAAGACCTAATGCACATGTGTGGCAATGGCCGCACACGCACATTAGACCTCCCCATAGGAAAGCATTATTCAATACTTTCCTATGGGGATTCCGGCGACGCTGGAGGTCCTCATGCATAGCTTGAGGACGTCCAGCATAACTTAAAACACTTTTCATGTTCTAAGAAGCTGGAAGTCCCTCTAGTGGCTGTCTGATAAACATCCACTAAAGGAGGACTTAACCCTGCAAGGCAATTATTGCAGTTTATAAAAAATTGACTTGTTGCTGCTGGAGTTTTAAGTGAAGAAAGTCAATGCAAAATACTTGCCTCCTGTCATTACCAAAATTAAGATATGTTCCCTATGTTTGCATAATCTACAATTGTCAATGTTTTATTCAATAAAATGTACATAAGACTTGTGTATAGTGTAATGTAATGGTCTTCTGAGGGTGACACTGCTATTGAAGTCTTCGATTTTCATTGTGAGAATGTTTAAGCTAAGGAATTTGCATATTTTGTTTTGTTTGTGACACTATAAATTCACTGTTGGATTGTTGGTGGCTAGTTCTTTGTTCAATAGAGCATTTAAAGCATCTAGGGTATTTTTGCCCCCTTTTCCCAACCAGAAGTGTTGTCTCAGGTATTTGGAGGGCATGGTGACAGAGTCAGCGGACCTATAATTTGAGTTTAATCATTTGGGCCTCTGATCCGAAACCGTCTTTATAAGGACGATGTCAGGAGCAGCCAGAGAAATTGATTGCTGTGTGGAAAGAGTGAGCAGAAGAGTTGATATCTACCCGTCCAGTAGGTAGAAGGCCATATCTTACTCTGAAGAATCGTGGTTAGGGTGGCTTCTGGTACCAGATGAGAAGGGACGGATGATATAGTAGGATAGGTCTGGATCCAAAGCCAGGGACTGCTGACTCGGGTTTCTGCTACAACTGGTGGCTAGTGGTGGTATAGCCCTCTTCTTATCCAAACCACCAATGGAACCTTTACTTTGCAGGAAATGGCCAACCACTGAGACCAGCCCAGCAGGGGGAGACACAGCAACCGAGCAGTTTATGGAACATGACTAATGACAATTAAAGCGAGCTACACTGAAGGATCTGCACAAGGCCAAAAGGTAAAAGAAAAAGTGAGCTGGCCGTTTAAGAGAAGGAGGATTTTACCAAGAAGGTCTGGATCCAAAACCAAGGGCCACAGCTACCTCTGTTCCAGCTACACATGTAAAAAGAAATTGCTTTGTCCAAAAAAAATTTGGGTTTGGACGAACAGTTTCCTCAATGTGGCATGTTTGTTCCAACGAATTTCATCCATGTGATTATTTCAGGAAAAATTATTTGGAGGAGCCAAAATGCACCATTAGTGTGGTGCAATGCAAAAATTGCTAAATTATTATCTAGCTAGGCAATAACAGGCCTTTTGTAATACTGATCTTGGCATATCTTGCCAACATTGAGTTTTTGCTCACAATTATTATATCCGCTGTGATGGAGCCCCTGTACTCTGACTGAGTACCTCCGCCCAGGCCACTTCCTAGCCACTTGCCAGGATCCAGGAAGGGAGCCTGGAATACTTCAGCCCCAGTCGCTGAAGCTTGACTGGGGTCTCTCCAGAACTCTTCCACATGACCAGACTTCTTCCAGGCAGGTATTGTCCCCTTTCTGCCTATTCTGCTGCAGCCTTCTTTCCAGGCAGGTATGCACCTCTGCCTGCAATGTGATATCTATTGCCTTTACAAAGGCACTTGCAGCTCTCAGGCCTGGCTCTTTTTATGATTTGTCCCTGGGCTAGAGGGATCATGCAGCCAGCCAACAGGTCCAAAGACTATTTTACTGGGATCCCTAAAAATCCACACAAGACACACAGTTCTTAAAGGAACTAACATACAAAGCTTTATTTATTCCTTCCTATCTTTATTTATTCCTTCCTATCCTTCCTATCTTTCACAAATACAGATAAAACAGCTGGATAGCAAAATTCACCGGATCCTAGATATGACAGTCCTGTCACGAGTTCGTGTAGCCCCCGGCTAATAAAAGTTCTCCGGACACGCTAGAGTTAGGTAGTGTCTTCAGGATACTTGCGGGAGGTGGAGCGTACATGATGACGTCACACTCCTGGTCAGATGACGCGTTTCGCTGAGGGATTGGCTTCTTCAGATAATTCGAGCGTGTACGGAGAACTTGTGTATGGTGAATTTTGCTATCCAGCTGTTTTATCTGTATTTGTGAAAATAAATAGTTTTATCCTTATTGGCTGCAGTGGAAATCTCTGCACATTTGGGCTATTCAAGGTACAGCAGACTCATCTGCTCTATGTCTGTGACTGAATCTCTTATCCTATTATTCACTTAACACTTTTACCTTGCAATATTACTCCATATACATTTTGTATTTTCTTCTATGTATTGCCTTTTGGATCTGTGATTGACTTCAGATGTGTTATTAGTGTAAGTTCATAATTATTTGTGCACTAGATCACTTTAAAGTGTTTTCTGCAATTTGCACTTTTATACTAATATGTATTTGTAACGGATCGACGGGCACCCCAACTGGGTACCTCCGTTGAAGGATGCTCCTAGCGCTTCCTGAGGGCTCCAAGCACTCCGGCCGACACCATAACCACCGTAGACTCCTTCAGAGAGCCAGACAGGAACAAGCTCTTACAAGAGCTTAGTAGTGATATAGCAAGGGAGTATGACTAGCATAGCAATCCCTTGTAGCAGATTCCGCCAATAAGAGATGGCACTCCAAATTGAGGGTGAAGTAGAACTGCCAGAGGTGTGGGTTTATTGTTCTTATATACACATTCTTACACATTAGTACCATCCACAGGGTTTTGTAAAACAACCAATAAACACGTACAATACACTCAGACACTTCCAAACAAAATCCTCCCCTCTGCCTGTGATACAATTACCTTACACAATGGGTTAATGTAATTATCACAGGCAGGAAAATACACAGTTTTACACAATATTCATAACTTTAAAAGTATCATCACATTCACATAAAACTTATATTTTCAGAATCAGCATACTCCAAATACAAACATACGTCAAAATCATACAAATTGGTCCAGTGGGTCAAAAGTTAGATCGAAGTCCTTTGTGACCAAATGAAGCATGGCTTTTCTGCCCAAAACCGGTTCCACAGAGTCTTCTATCCTGGAGATAAATGGGAAGTAATCCAATTATCTCCAAGAACAGATGCAAAACTCCATTAGCCACATGGTAGCAAAAGACAATAAAATACATAAATATATATAACTGTGCAGCTATTGCATAAAACAGGTACATTCAACATATCCCGAGATAGCTTAGATCTGAGCGCACATTATTACTGAATAGCGCTCAGATCACATACATACAGTTCAATTGCCATGGAGCCAAAGTCTTTCACATAGTCTTTTATTATACGAATGGGCTCCGTGGCATAGCTACGTAACACTATTCAAATAGGGAAAGTACGGAATGACCCGGTTTTCGGGTCTTTGCAGGGGAAAGTCAAGCATTTCAACATGGGGCCATAGTCACAGGGCAGAAGGCTGGCAATCAGTCTTCTCCAATGCCCAGTGGCGAGGCTGGTTCTGCCACAGTATTGATTGGATATGCACATTTCACTTTTTATGAACGGAAAGCATGTTGCACTTTATTTCACATAGTTGATGCTGCTAGACAAATTTGCACTTTGAATTTTAGCGCACATATTTTTATGTTTTTACTATATTTCAGTGTTTTATGGGCTAATACACTTATAGGTGCCTCTTCATTTGCTAAGGTTCACATTACCAGTTTGTGTCTCAATTTTTAAAGCGCCACCTTTTCACTTGTTGATTATATTTCTATTTTATGGTAACTCTGGACTCAGAAGCAAAGAACGAACTCCAATGGTGGCTTCTTCACATGGAATCTTGGAATGAACGCACCATATTCTGTACAGCTCCAGATCTGATAATCATATCCGACGCAAGTTTTCACAGCTGGGGCGTTCAGTGCAGAAATATTTCCACCAAGGGCAGATGGTCACACCTTGAATCGACACTCCACATCAATTGTTTGGAACTTCTGGATGGTTCCTTTGCAGTCCGCAGTTTCTCCCCAACTCAAGTCCAATGTGCTATCCTTCTGAAGATGGACAATATTTCATCTGTCCGCTACATCAATCACTTGGAGACACAAAATACAAAATTTTGACCTACATGGCTCACGATTTCTGGCAATTTTGCCTGATGCACGGCATTTCAAACAGCTTCTCGTTTGAATGCTCAACTTCCCCATTTTTTCAGTTGGAGAGCAGACCCGACAGCACTGGCTATGAATGTTTTCTCCCAAGATTGGTCTTCAAGGAATTACGCTTTTCCGCCCTTTGCACTGACTCCCGGTAGCCTTTTCCATCTACGTCGCCAATCCGGCACCTGGTGACCGTGGCTCCTCTATCGCCGTCCCAACCATAGTTCCGTCCTCTTCAGGAGATGGCTATCGACCTTCCACGTCTCCTTCCATCTCTCGAGTGCCTTCTTTAGGATCCAGACGGTCTGCCTCATCTCCTTGTTCTCCAAGGTCTCTTGCATCTTATGGTGTGGTTGACTCCGGGCATCTTGGTCTGTTGAGGGAGTTACGCAATCAATTATCAGACATATCGAGGGTGCATGGGCACCTGACAATACAGGTTTATAAATCTGCTTGGAGCAGATGGTGTAGTTGGTGCATGAAATTAAATTTAGATTTATGTCTGTCCTCCATTTTCTGACTTCTGTATCTCACTGCGATCGTCCATTTCTGCTGGTCATCAAAGTTTCGATTGGATGCCTGTCGGTTGAAATCCTGTCATATGTCGACTTTTCTGAGGAATTTCTTTTGCTCATCCACCCTTACCTCGATACTCATTCTTGTGGGACGTCTCTATTTTCTTTAATTTATTTTCTTGCAAGAGGGTTTCTGACGTACAAGCTCTTAATGTTGCTGCTCGTTCCTTTACTCCAGAAGGTGTGCTCTTTAAATTTCTCGTAGGACAAAAACCTAATCTAAAGTTGTTTTATACCCAGCTTCCCCTGATAGATCTCTCTTTTGCCCTGTTGCATACTTATGGGAGTATGAACTTCGTTCCACTATGTTACAGAATACTTTGAAACAGGAACTCTTCATCTCCTTCCAAAAGTCATGTCTTCCGGTGTTTACCCTAGCGTGATGGGTCAAATACGTTATGTCTCTAGCAGGTATTGATACCTATGTGTTTGCGCCTCATTCGGTTTGTGGGGCAATGGCTTCTAAGGCTTCCTTGATTGGTTGTCGCTTGGAGGATATTATGAGAGCGGCTAGTCTTCAGAGTCTACATTCCATGATTTCTACTTTAGACCTATTCAACACTTCACAGGAGACATAATTTCACAGCTTTAAACTTGGATATTACAATATTCTCCTTTCTCTTCCAGCTTGACTCGAGTTCCAGGTTAGGAAACTAAAAAGTGAGTGGGCAATTGATTACCTGCTCACACTGAGAAGAACAAAGCTTTCTCAAACATGGACATGTACAGAACTAAAATCATGCTCAGCCCTTCTATTCACCTCGTAAACCCACCTATAGAGGAGATGAGCTAAACCAAGAGAAACCTCTTGACAAAGTAGCTATGAAAATGGAAATATTTGCCAATGTAAGGGATTGTATGTATTCATTATGGTGACTGCATCCAGATCTTCAAGGCAGTGGCGTCACTAGAGGGGGGACAGAGGTGAGCACACCCGGGATTTTTTTCCAAAAAAGGTGTCAACCCTATGTGGGATTGAGTCTGTGTGTGTGTGAGTCAGTGTGTATGGGTCAGTCTGTGAGTGTGTGGGGGGTGACACTCTGTGTGGGGGGCTTGGGGGTGTCAGTCTGTGTGTGTATGGGTCAGTGGGGGTTCAGTGTGTGGTGTTGGGGTTCAGTCTGTGTGTGAGGGGTCAGTTTGTGTTTGGTGTGGGTCAGTCTGTGTGTATGGGTCGGTCTGTGTGTGTATGGGTGTGTGTGTGTGTGTGTGTATGGGGGTGTTAGTCTTGTGTGAGGGGGTGGGAGGGTTCAGTCTATGTTTGTGGGAGTCAGTTTGTGTGTATGGGTCAGTCTGTGTGGGGGGCTCAGTCTGTGTGTGTGTGTGTGTGTGTATATATATATATATATATATATATATATATATGGGTCAATCTGTGGGTTTGTATGTGTAAGTGCTTGAGCTCCAAGAGAGATACCTCTCATCTCGTGACCTCCCCTGTACCCGTCTGTGTGTGTGGGGGGGTGGGGGGGAGCAGTCTGTCTGTGTGTGTGTATGTATGGGTCAGTCTGTGGTTTTGTATGGGTCAGTTTGTGTAAGTGCTTGAGCTCCAAGAGAGATACCTCTCATCCCGTAAACTCCCATGTACCTGATGGATAGGCAGCCTTCCCACCCACCATGGATCTGATTGTGCGACCCCTTCCCTGCAAGGTTAGATCAGAAAGTAAAAATTGTAAAGCTCTTGCCTATCCCACTCTCTTCACGCCCCTGAACACAGTACACCCTTCAGAGACATTGAACCCCTCACATACAGTACACTCCCACCAACACACAGTGCATCCCTCACACACATTATCTGTTCACCCACATACATACATGCTTAACCCCATTACACACCGAATCTCATACATATATATATCATACATATTTATTGCAACCACTTTACTCCGGCGTGCGTCTGAATTGTGTGACGTCACGGCCGGCCTCCATTCACTTCCTGGTAGTAACGGGCAGAGCACTTACACATCACACTTGGTAAGCGTTTTATGATACATTGTGTATATAAACATTGTTATGATTTGTATTTGTTGATCTTGAAAAAGACCCGTCAGGGTCGAAACATCGATTGCCTCATTTGTACATTTCACATGGAATAATTAAAAGTCACTTTTTTCACCTTAATTAAGTCCTGTGAGTGCATCCTAATTTTTGATTTTTATATAATACACACACACACACACATAAATAACTACAGCTCTTTGATAAGCACACACACTACAGTCCCTAGATGCACATAGTACACCATAAACATACTCCTATATACACACACACTTCACTACAACCTCTTCTAAACACCATGGAAAATTATCTTGCATCTCCTGAAAAGGTTTTCCAGTTTTTGTAAAAATGGTTTCTTGCCTGTAATAAGGAAGGCGCAGTGGTTGAACTACAGGGAGTGCTAGTGTTGCGGTTACACTGGGGCCCATCAAGTGGCCCGTGCACCTGATGGGCATGTGTTTTCAGAGACCCAAAACAGTTTTTGCACCAGGGCCCACTCTTCGTTAGTTCCGCCAATGTGCAGCAGCTTCCCCGGGACACAAGCACTGCTCCTGCATTGAAGATCGCCTTCCCGTACACAAGCTCCGCCTCCAATCTCTGACTGACACATACACACTTTCTGACAGACATACAGTGAAAGGCACAGACTCTCTGACTGAGACACACACACATACACACATTTTCTCACACACTCACACATTTTCTCACACACTCACAAATTGCTATTTTTATTTGTCAACCCTTTGCTAAGCTGCGCAGGAAACATTAAAGGGCGCGCGCGCAAGGATGCAGAGAGGAACTACAGGAAGGTTACTGCTCCCTCGTGCGCCGCCTCCATGCTCCCCTAGGTGGCCGGCTTAAATATTTCCTGTGCAGCTTATCAAAGGCATGACAAATGCCAGGGCGAAATGTCGTCGCATGGCGACCTGGGATTTGTTGAGCTCTGTGTATGTATGTACGCCCTGTTCCAAGTTATTATGCAAATTATATTTTTCTCATTTACCTAAATAATTGATGTAAATAACAGTCAGCATAATTCTCATGTTATCAACTATTAAGAGTACAATTCAAATTTTATTGAACAAACCTTCTAATGATAACAGTATCTTTTTTAACCCCTTAACGCCATTACGGCATTCTATGCCGTCCCGCATTAAAAGGGCTTTAAAGCCGTTGCGGTGGCATAGAACGCCATAACAGCTTTGAGCCCTGGAGCCTCAGAAAAATTTACCTTCCCGGCGCTCCGCTTCGGGAGGACTGCCCGACAGCCCAGGCAGCCCTCCCCCGGCGGCCATGTGATCGCTCTCAAAGAGCGATCACATGGCCCACTACAGCTGGCTGTGGATCTGCCAGCAGGGGGACTGTCTGAAATGTCAGACAGTCCCCCTGCTGGTGGGAAAGTAAAAAAATATATATATATATATTAGACATGTTTTAAAATAAAATAGAAATGTATTTACATATATAATTATGTATATATACATATTATATACGTATAATTACAATAATAAATAAATAAAATATTGAAACAAAATTTAATATAAATTATATATGCATATGTAATTTCATTCTAACTATTTTATTTTATATATATATATATATATATATATATATATAGGTAACAAAATATTAAATACAAATAACCGCAAAAAAATAATAATATATATATATATATATATATATATATATATATATATATAGATAAATACATATAATTACATAAAAGATTACATTAGTATACACATAGAATTTAAATACCTATAAATGCATATATATTAAAATTCTGCATGTATATTTAAGTAATCTTTTAACATAATTACCATATATACTCGAGTATAAGCCGAGTTTTTCGGCACTTTTTTTGTGCTGAAAAAGCCCCACTCGGCTTATACTCGAGTCACTCTCTGTATTATGGCAACTTACATTGCCATAATACAGACCAGGACCGCCAGGCTCATTGGAAGCCCGGCGGTCCTGTTGGGGGCTGGCAGCGAGCTGTTACTTACCTTTGTAGCAGCTCCGTGCAGCTTTCCAGTTCAGCTCCCAGTGTAAGTCTCGCGACATCCGCGGCCATCAGAGCGTTGCCACAGGTTACCGTGGCAACGCTCCGCGCAGCACACAGACCGCGATACTTACACTGGGAGCTGAACTGGGGAGCTGAACAGAGCTGACAGGGAGCTGACTGGAGCTGCTACAAAGGTAACAGCTTGCTCCGCCCCCCCCTGCACAGCCTATCCACTGGACCACCAAGGAATGTTACAGCCCCCCTCCCTGGCCATGCAACAAGCAGGGAGGGGGGCCAAAAAAATTAATATTAAAATAATAATAAATAATATTAAAATAAATATTAAAATAATAATAATAATACATTTATAAATAATATTAAAATAATAAAAATGCCCTCCCCCACCCAGTTTACACACACACACACACTACACACAAACACACACACACTCTGCATTCATTATATACAAACGCTACACACACACACACACTCACACATTCATTATATACACACACTGTAAATAAATATTAAATTAATGTAATTTTATTGGGATCTAATTTTATTTAGAAATTTACCAGTAGCTGCTACATTTCCCACCCTAGGCTTATACTCGAGTCAATAAGTTTTCTCAGTTTTTTTGTGCTAAAATTAGGGGCCTCGGCTTATATTCGGGTCGACTTATACTCGAGTATATACGGTATGTGATTTGATTAAATTAAAATTTGATTGACATGCCTGACAACACAGGGAGAAAGTGCAGAGAATTTAATTCGCAAGCACTATATTTGAGCCTGTAACTCTCCAAGACACCATAAAACCTGTACATAGGGGTACTGTTTTACTCGGGAGACTTCGCTGAACTCAAATATTAGTGTTTCAAACTGGTAAATTGTATTACAATGATGATATTTTAAGGAAAAGTGAACACTAATATTTGTGTTTAGTGAAGTCTCCCGAGAATAACAGTAACCCCCATGTACAGGTTTTATGGTGTTTTGGAAAGTTAGAGAGTCACATATAAGGCTTGCATATCATTTTTTTGACATTGAAATTTGCCAGATTGATTTGCAAAAGTAGACAACCCAAGGTATTGCAAGTGGGGTATGTCCAGTCTTTCTTAGTAGCCACTTAGTTACAAACTGTGACAGACCCATCTCTCTGGACTAAAAGTACTGTGTTAGTCTGTTTTGCCGTTTGCATGAATTTCCCCATTCGTATGCTCTGTTTAAGGGAACGTTGTTTTTTGTCGAACGGAACTACCGAACGGACGGCCACCCAGAAGAGAAGTGTGCTGCTGGTTAACCTATTGATCCCAATTAGAACGTTGCGGTTAACCACAGACACTTCTCAATTAAAACCGAATACCGGGTGGTCGTCGTTCGTATGTCGACCACGAGGCGGCGGCCATTTTAACCATGCGAAAGACCAGCGGTGTTCGACGGTTATTTCATGGAACTGAAAACTGACACTTTTTCAACCGAACACCGCTGAAGCCGTCGACCTCCCCTTCTAAATCAACAAAAGCATACGAATGCCGGCCGTTCGGGAGATTCAACAACACGAATGGACTTAACCCAGATAGCCGTCCCATGGAGTCAATCGCATACCGAAGAACTGTAATAGACTGACTCCATGGCGATTGAACTATGCGAATGGGATCTGAGCGCTATTCGCCAATAATATGCACTCAGATCCAGGCTATCTGGGGATGTGTTACACGAATGCAATATGTTCGGCAGTTATAAAGTTATGTATTTTTATGTGTTTTATGACTTGTACTTAAAATGGCGATTTGCCTCTGCTCTGGGAGATAATTGAATTACTTCCCAATTATCTCCCGAGCAGAGGGGAGGGAACTGTGATGCATGCTGGGAATATTGTGGGGATGTATGTCCAAAATGTCCCCATGTCCTTCTGTCATTTCAGTCTCCCATTTGGTCCCCTAGGGGAGTGTCCACCAAGTGGGAGACCTGCATAAATACCGGACAGGTAGCCCACAGTAAATCAGTTCGTGTTTTACCCTCAAAGCGGAGCTTGGTCTCGTTATTGGAGGGATTTTATTACCGGCGCCTAGAGACTGCGTATTGGAATTATTTGCCGCTTGGAAGATATTGGCGTTCGGTTAATCTTCTCAGTTCGAGGAATTTGGAGCTCGTGAAGGGAAAGAGCCGTACAGGTACCGTTCGGGAGTTTGGAGTGTTCCCTAGCTGGCGGTTCGCATGGTTTTACTATACACGCTACCAGACCACATTATTGCGAACGGGGAGCATTCACTAAACGGCGGTTTGGGCATTTTATTACTGGAGGTACCGTAACACAAACACTGGCCAAATATTAGTTTTTTGCTTTTTTCACACAAAAACCAATATGAACGCTAACTTTGGCCAGTGTTTGTGACTAAGTGGCTCCTAAAAAAGACATACGCTCTCAAAAGCAATGTAACCAACCTGGCCCTTTTCAATGTAAAAATATTTGACCCATATATTTGACCCTGTAACTTTCAAAAACGCTAAAAACCCCTGTACATGGGGGGTACTGTTATACTCGGGAGAATTTGCTGAACACAAATATTAGTGTTTAAAAACAGGAAAATGTATCACAACAATTATATCATCAGTAAAAGTGCTGTTTGTGTGTGAAAAATGCAAACAAAAGTCACTTTCACTGACAATATCATCGCTGTGATATGTTTTACTGTTTTGAATCACTAATATTTGTGTTCAGCGAAGTCTCCCGAGTATAACAGTACCCCCATGTACAGGTTTTACGGTGTCATAGAAAGTTACAGGGTAAAATATAGTGCTAGCAAATTAAATTCTCTGGACTTTCGGCCTGGGTTGGGAGGCAGGTCCCTCAAATTGCAATCAATAAAATTACTTAATTATGTAAAAATATTACATAAATACGCACGCAGAATTTAAATATATATGCATCTTTATATATTTGAAGCCTACGTATATATTTATATAATTATTTATGTAATTTTGTATATGGACATATGTATATTTAGTATTATTTTTATTTATTTATATATACATAGATATATATACAATTTCATTCTAAGTGTATTTTGATATATATATATATATATACTGTATTTATCGGCGTATAACACGCACTTTTTCTCCCTGAAAATAGGGGAGAAATTGTGGGTGCGTGTTATATGCCGGCCCTTTAAATACTGCAGCCGCCTGAGCGCTCTGTCAAGAGCGCTCAGGCGGCTGCAGTTGGTACTCACCTCCCCTGTAGTTTCTGTTTCCTGTACCCGGTCGGACTGACAGGAAGGTGCACACTGAGCGTGCACCTTCCTATCACTCCGGCCGGCCACCGCGGACAGCAGAGCGGCTCGGCCACGCTACAGGGGAGTGGGGTAAGAAGGGGGTGAATAGAGGGGGAGGGGGGTAAGAAGGGGAGGGAAGTAAGAAGGGGAGTAGAAAGGGGAGGGAGGTAAGAGAAAGAGGGGAGGGAGGGTAAGAAAGGGGAGAAGAGGGGTAGAAAGGGGGAGGGGGTAAGAAGAGTAGAAAGGAGGGAGTAGAGAAGAGGGGAGTAAGAAGAGGAGGGAGTAGAAAGGGGTAGAGGAGGGAAGTAAGAAGAGGGAGGGTAAGAAGGGGGTAAGAAGGGGAGGGGGAGTAAGAAGAGGGGGAGTAAGAAAGGGGGGTAAGAAGAGGGGGAGGGGCAGTAAGAAGGGGGTAAGAGGGGGAAGGGGAAAAGAAGTTCTTTATTTGAAATTTAAAGGACCACTCTAGGCACCCAGACCACTTCAGCTTTATGAAGTGGTCTGGGTGCCAGGTACCTCTAGGATTAACCCTTTTTTTTATAAACATAGCAGTTTCAGAGAAACTGCTATGTTTATACTGAGGGTTAATCCAGCCTCCAGAACCTCTAGTGGCTGTCTCATTGACAGCCGCTAGAGGCGCTTGCGTGCTTCTCACTGTGAAAATCACAGTGAGAGCACGCAAGCGTCCATAGGAAAGCATTGTAAATGCTTTCCTATGCGACCGGCTGAATGAGCGCGCGGCTCCTGCCGATAGCGTCGCTGTTTCCAAAAGGGAAGAGGTACGCTCCGCCCGGCGCTGGAAAGGTAAGTATTTAACCCCTTCCTCTCTCCAGAGCCCGGCGGGAGTGGGCCGGAGTGGGTCCCTGAGGGTGGGGGGCACCCTCAGGGCACTATAGTGCCAGGAAAACGAGTATGTTTTCCTGGCACTATAGTGGTCCTTTAAGGTTTTTTTTCCTGAAATTTCCCTCTTAAAATGAGGTGCGTGTTATACGCCGATAAATACGGTATATATATATAACGGACCGTTTTGCACAAAAGGGGTAAAAACCGCTTAGACGATAATCCCCTTTCAGAGACAGGCACAGCTACTGTAGAATCACCAAAACTCACAAATTGAATACAAGTGAATGCACCAAACACCCGAACTGCATACAAACACAGACATGTAACATATCCCCAGATAGCTCAGGTCTGAGCGCACATTATTAAGCGAATGGCGCTCAGACCACACGAATACAGTTTAATCGCCATGGAGCCAAAGTCTTTACCGTCAGTTTCATACGAATGGGCTCCATGGGATTCCTATCTGGGGTATAACACATTCAAACAAATCTACCGAACCCCAGGCAGAAAAGCACGAATGAAGCTTTTCTGCAGGTAAAAAATATGTCTTTTACCAGGGGGCCATAGTCCAAAGGCAGCAGGCGAGCAACCAGGCTTCTCCAATGCCATGTGGCGAGATTGGTCTCGTCACAATATATATATATATATATATATATATATATATATTACTATCAAAATAGTTAGAATAAAATGTCATTTTTTAAAAAAATTTTTTTATTATTTTTACATGTTTTTATTTAATTTAAATTACTTATTATTTGTATTTTATAATAGTGTTTATATACAATATCTAATTATATATATATATACACACACACACACACACGTGTGTAATTTAATATTAATATATGTACATATTAATATAAAAATCCCCTTGTATGACATTATATATATGATATATTGACATATTATATATATATATATAATATATCATATATATATATATATATATACACACACACATATAATTTTTTTTTTATTATTAACTTTTTTTTAATTTTACTGTAGCAGGGAGTCACATGGCCACAGGGGTCCTAATCCGTCATAGGGAAACTGTCTGGGCTGCAGGCAGTCTCCCCACACCGGGACCACTGCGGATCACCGGCAGGGGAACGACGGCGATTGGGTAAGTACATTGGACCGTTAGGACGGTTCAGGACCGTCACCTGTCGGCAATGGAAAAATGCAGAAGACGGTCCTGAACCGTCCTTGGTCCTGAAGGGGTTAAATTGGGCTCGCCTGGCAATCTAATTATCACAGGTGTCCGAAATTGTTTTCAGTGATCAAAAGAGCCCTGAGACACAATGCCATCCATGAGTTAAACTGAAAAACAAAATATTTAACCTTTGTGACACTTAAATAGAATTTGCATAATAATTTGGAACAGGGTGTATATATATATATATATATATGTGTGTGTGGGTAATATATATATATATATATCACATATATATATATATATATATATATATATATATATACACACACATATACACACACACACACTTTTTATAACTGTCCCTGGCCCAGGGCCGGATTAACATAGGGGCTGATGGAGCTGCAGCTCCAGGCCCAGGCCCATGGAATAGGCCCATTGATTTAAAAAAAAAAAGTAAAAATAATTATTTTTTTTTACATTTTTTTTTTCACACACTACTCTTAGGGATTCCACCTGGCTTTTATTTTATTGGCACAGCCAGTATTTGAGGCTGCCTGGCTGGTGCCAATATTGCAGTGATATTGGCAATACAAATGCTGGTATTTTTCTCAGTATAAACAAGAGATTACTATGCAATACCAGCACTGGCCAACAGGGGTCGCTGTGTGTGTGGAGACAGGCAGTGATAGGAAGTTCCAGCATATCCCTCCCTGCCTATCTATACTCACTGATCTGCAGGGGTGCAGCTACAGAGAGTCC